TATTTCCCTCTTTTGTACCCCAAAAATCTCCATCACCTCTGTGAAAATGTGCTGATGTGAATGACAGTTGAAGTGCTGTTTGTTAAAGAGCAGGGCACTGGGACTATAGGTATCTCAGCGGTGGAATGAGGAGTTACTGACTCTTGAGAGTAGAAAGAGAGGTTTATGAGTCTTTGGAGAGGACTGAAAGTGAGGGACAGGCTTAGTGGATGGATATTAGATTGGTGTCATGAGTAGACACGTCAGGGCACAGATAGCTTCATCCTTTATCCGAGCTCTCTCCTCACTATGCCAGGCACTTCTTTCTATCCTCCCTGTTAATCTACACCTCCTTCCCCCAACTCTCTTTTGCCTTTGGGCTTCTTAGTTTACCTCTTTATTCATGTAATTTAGGTCAGGTCTTTCTTAATTTCAGAGCTTTTATGAAAATTTTAAGGGATTGTACTGGTGTTACAGAATCTTTTAGCTATTTGCTGGTTTTATATCATTTAATAACTGCTGAACATTTTCCAAAGTGTCAATACAAGTCCTTCCAAATTTAACAGGTCAGACAATTCTCAGAGTAAATACACATTACAGTAGAGGCAGGTACAATAAAATATTAAAACCATTCAGAATATAATTTTTTTGTAAAAAACTATTACAATTCCTGTCTGGCACTGGGGTAATTATTAGGTTTGGGGATGTTTGTGATTAATGCCATTTGTCTTATATTGTTTTCTATTGAATATAACTCTTTGTTGGTCTCTATGAACTTTAGATTTTAATCAGTTTGTCTTTGTGCAAAAGTGGCACTGTTTTTGAAACCTTTCGGAATCGTTTGTGTATTTCCTGTTAAATAAAACTTGCTTGAAAAAATTACAATAGATTTTTGTAGCTTTGTAATTTATTTTTATTTTTTCCCAAGCAGCGACTGGTTCCTCTCCATTTAATGTTGTTTGAAGACTAGTTTTGACTGTATATACTCCCTGGCTTATTTCAATATATATGGTTAAAATAAAGCATCCTGGACAATGAACTATGTATACCATTTGAACTTTTTAGAAGTTGTATCAAACTATCCAACCCAAATTGAGTTAATATGAACTTTGCCTGGAATCTTATCTAAAGAGAAAATGTTATTTGAACTGGAATGGAATGAGCAGAAAGGCAACCAGTCCAATATTTTTCTGGACAGGAAAAAGTCCTGATTCAGATGAAGAACAAGTGTTGTTTTGGATTTGTTCAGTGATTTAATCTGGCAACTTCTCTTGTTTTTACGCCCTTTTACCACTTACAATACGCTCTCAGCAGAGACACAAAATCACACTTTTGCTTGACGCATGAGACTCAACAGTCACTTCATCCTGGAGACACTGCACAAGTGGCCATTTAGAGACGTATGCTGAGAAAATGGCTCTGGGAATAGCTATCTTTCCCACACCCCCTGAACTCCTTTTTGTTGTCTTTAGTGTTGCAGATATGATCAGTTGATTTTTGGCCAGTTGTCTTAGTCTTAGGAGGCATGGCTAGGGTTTGCAGCAAGGTATCTGTGATCTTACTAGATGAGGGAAGGAAATGGATATGTTGTTTTCTTTGTATCTACCTCCAGCCTGTGAAAGCAAACATACTGTGGGCAGTGGTTTTCCATGCCTCTCGAGCTTGCATGCTAGCCTGAAACAAAGGCCAGGTTATTTTAGTGGTCAGTGTTTTACTGCAAATCAATATTTGTTTGACTTGTGGACTATAAGCCATAAGGGAGATATTATTCTCACCTTGAATAGTTTAATGAAATCAATATTTGAGGCCGTCCTTGACCAGGAAAATTATAGCTTTTGTTGTGCATTGTTCAAGTTATGTTAGTCTTCTCTCAGGAAGAAGTAGTGTGACTAGGGCTGGGTATCATTTAAAACCTTACAATACTTACTTACCAATACCAGTAGTAGTACTTTGTTGATACCTTTTTTCTTTGTCTTGTGAACACAGTACAGTGTACAGTGAATACCCTGAGGTTTTCTCCATGCATGATGTGGCGCTTTATCATGTCACTCACAGTTTTTCCCGAAATAATCCTCCCACATTTTATGCATTCATTTTTATCTAACACCACAGGCGTGTAGTAAAGCCATGCTTTTGAACGTTTTGGTGGCATCTCTGCACTCTGAACTGCCAACTCTGTCAAATTCACCACTTTCAGCTTAACCAGCACAGACTGTATGTAGCTGCTAGCTGTGGTACAAAAAGGATCAAATGCAGGTATAGTTTGATTGCAGAAGTTTCAACACTACTTGGTACTGGACTTTTTTGGTACCCAGCCCTAATGTGACGCTGTAAAACCGCCATAAAGCCTCCCAGATCACTTGCTTTTGCACAATGTAATGCCTAAATGCCTTTGTATTTTATGTTTATATAGAAATTGAAAGTGATGGCATCCTTGTAGCTCACCTTGCAGAGCTGCCCCCCGATGTACCAAGGCTGAGTCCCCCTCTCTCTCCCCCTTTCCTCTCACTCTTCAGCTGTCAATATCGATTAAAGGCAATAAAAGTAAAAATACTGAAACAAAAATAAATACAAAATTGAAAATGATATCCACAAAGGGAAGACCAGATCATCCCAGCTGACACTGGAATATCAGAGCTTCCAATTTGATCAACATAAACACAGCTAAGCACTGCGAGACTAAACACTTAAACACAAAAGCCTACTGTGTACATCCACACAGTTCTGAATGCTGTATACACCCTCGGTGGAGGAGGTTCAGCTTCACAGTGTAATGATGATGAAGTTTCACATCATCCGGTGTGTAGGGGTAAAAAAAACAACAAAGGCCACCACTGTGACGGTCTCCTCTTAGTCCTGGATGTTTTTCTTTAGCCATGAGATTGTCAATTTATAAAACACCGATGTCTCGTTGATGATAGTTGGCTACCTGTCTTTGAATGGCGAGTCCTTGCAAACCATTCCCATGAATCTCCTGGTGAGAATTGGGCTGAGACTGAGTCACTCATTTGTGTGAAGTGGCGACATGCTGAATGCTCAGCGGGATTTCACTGTCAAGCTCCGGATCACGATTCAGTGGTGTTTCTGCTTCGCTGTCTGTGCTTCGCTCCCATGCCACACATCACTGTAGATAGGAGTCTTAAATTAAACTGTGCCACATTTAAAAATCATCACATCCCCTGTCATTCTGGTGCACACGTGCAAGTGATGAATCTCCTGATTAAACCTTTGAAAATTATTACACATTTTAACACTTTTCATTGAATATGCAAGAGTTTTAATTTTAATTTGTTAGCATGGCGGAAGGAACAAACACCAGGTGTTTCTCTGCACTCTTCTAAATCTCATCTGTGTCAGTGTAGCTTTAGCTGATGCTGAGAGACGAAGTGCATTAGAGTCTCAGGAAAAGGAAAAAAATCTTTGATTTACAGCATTATGCTTTCTAAATCATCTGCCAGGAGAAGCAGGGATGGAGAAAACGAGTACGAGAGCACCCTGCTGACTCAGTCAGGTGGCTTATATAAACACTCAGTAAAATAAAATCTTAACATGGTGCTGCTGAATATACTTTAGATTGCTGCTGAAGACTGATCATCATCTTACTCCAAACAAATGCATAACATCTGAAATACGCAATCTTTTTCCTTTTTTTTATTCGTGAGAACTTGTTGATAGACGGATAATCTACTGTTGCTACCCATCTACACTGTGCCCTCTTCTTTTCCTGTCAGTTTACTGCTGTTATGAGGCGCCTACAGCATGCCTTGATTGTCACAGGGTCACATGTACAAGGTTTATTAACAACTTAGGCCATGGAGTGCCATTCTCTATCATCTCCGTTTTTCTGTAGTTGTTTTTCTGTTTGTTTTTTTGCTTGGATGGTTTTACTGGCACTGCAGAGACAACATGTACTATTGGCATTAAGTTATTAATTCAGGATAAAATGTTAAGTGTACTCAAACTAGGAGATTAAGGTAGAAAATAAACAAGAATATCTTTCTTTTTTTACAGTGCAGCCTCACAACATAACCTTGCTCAACAATATGTGTGACAGCTCACTTAATTTGTTTAGACAGGTATGTTAAGTAGAAAAGAAAAAAGTATTATTGTTGAATAAATCTGAAGAAGTTATTTAAAAAACCTTTGATTTCTCACGGCTATTTAGTCATAGTAACAGTTAAAAACATGCCTAATTAAAAATGGAATCTCTTTGACGTCACCAATATGATTCTGAAGAGCCGTTGTGAGGCTCAGTGTACTCGGTTCTGGCCGTCGCCATCGTGGTAGTCCTTACTCAATGGAGCTGAATGAAGCCAGGTCACTGAGGATAATTTAAAAGGGTGTGTTATACAAAAATGAACCCCCTGAACAGTTGTTGTGCTGTAGACACATTTTACTTTTTAGGAATACGGGTGTAAGAAAACATTAGAAAGCACTCTGAGATGCAGAGAGTTGAACAGCACCTATCCAGGAAGTGACATCAAGATTTCAGCTCTCTATACCTTGTGTGTGTCATTCCAATTCACATGATGTTAAGAATTATAAAATAACCAGTGTGCTTAATATATTATATTTTTGATGGTGAAAATGTCCTCAACTCTAATTTCATGCTCACTGGCTGTGAGTGTCTTTACTAACAAGATTGGCAACAATGATGATATTCACTAATAATTCACTAAAATCCACCTGAAAATATGAACATTCTAAACATTTTTGCACAGCTAGCAATGCCTCTGTGCACAATATGTTCTCAACAAGTGAGCCTGCTAACAACCTGGCAGTTCAACAAGGTCCTTGTAGAAAATCTAGACTGCACATGGAGATGTTGCACTCTAGTGAGCATGAAAATTTCATCGCAGAGTTTCATTCATAGTGGGTATGCCTGAAAATGGTTGTTCTTTTGAGCAGGCAAAACAATCTGATTTTGAGCCTTGCCTTTTTGTGCTTTGCCCCTGTGTCACCATTCCCTCTCGCTGGAACCAGACTAATGTATATATTTTTTTCTTCTTTTCTTTACTCAGCTGCCCTACAGGTGCAAATCACGCCAACACAAGGAGAGATCAGCGTAGGAGACTCAAAATTTTTCCTCTGCGAAGGTAAGAGTGATCTCGGACACACCTCATTTAACAGGGCTTGATGCAAATGTCACCTCATAGAACAATATTGGCAGTATTAATTGGGATAATTTAATAACAGTGATACGTGTCAGTTTAAATAATGAGACTGGTGAATATACTCATTAGAAGTTCAGCAATGAAGAAATTCAAGGCAAAAGACGAGACAGTGCTAAAAAAAGACAAAAGACAAGGATAGATTGATTGAGCAGTTTATTCTGAGGAGGTAGTGGGGAGTTGAGATCAGAGTCGGGTAAGGAAGAGAGCTTAGAAGAGGTGTGAGAGAGGTGCAGTCTAAGGAGATAATGAGAGAGAGGTCTTAGACTTTCTGTGTTTTCAGTGTTGAATGTACATGTGCAGTTGTCAGCTTGTCTGAGATACAGGTGGTATTTGACTCAGGTAGGTCAGCTGTCTGACACTATACACTAATTTACAAATATAAATAAAATCACGCAAGTCAGAGCTCGTAGTTATTAGAGATGTGACGATTAATCAATTAGTTGTCAACCTTCAAATTATATTACTTGGTAAAAGTGATTAGGTGATTCATTTTTTAATAAAATATCCAAATTCTCTGATTCAGGCTTCTTAAAGGTCCATTTAGGAGGGTCTATTGTCAGAAATGGAATATAAAATTCATAGTTATGTTTTCATTAGTGTATAATGACTAATAATAACTGAATATAGGAATTGTTGCATTTTTGTTACCTTAGAATGAGACGTTTTTAACTACACTAGAGTGGGTCCCTCCACGAAGGCCACCATGTTGAACCACCATGTTTCTACAGTAGCCCAGATGAGACAAACCAAACACTGGCTCTAGCTAGGCTTGTCTCACGTTTTTTCAAAATTTGCAGCCATCTTCATTTATCCTACACCTTTGGAAGACACAGTGGTTTTGAAATGGTTGCAGTCTGCAACTACACCACTAGATGCCACTAAATCCTACACACTGGACCTTAAAATGTGACTATTTTCTGGTTTCTTGTGTGAAATGAACTAAAGATAATCATTTATTATAACAGATGATATGTAAGGATTAAGTTTTGACAGAAAGTCTTTGATACTTAGACTTTTCAGAGAGACTTTTGTAACTGAGGGGCATCTGCCCTGAGCAGCAGCAGAATAAATCCACACTGGTGGTGGCTGATGACTCTGCTGACTTTGATGGGGAGGTGGAGGGGCGCACATAACAGCAGAATGAACATGCTGATGGCAAAGAGAGAGTCATATTTAAAAATACAGCAGCAAGATGATAGGCTAACAATGTATGAGTGTTGCTGTGCTATTGGATACATGTGACCAGCTGATGAGAACAGCTGATCTCACAATTGATAGCCCATGATAATGACAGCAGGGACATTATGAGTGAGTGGGAGTGAGAGGAGTGAATGGCAGGAGGGAAAAAGAAATAAACAGGCCTGTACATTCAAAAGAATAGTCTTTACTTTGGTTAGAGCTCCACCTGTTAACTGAAAGCCTATAAATCAATGGTACTGTTTACTCAAAATACAAAACAAAGTAAAGTTTGAGTAAAGCCGTGTGCAGGCTACACACATCTTGCCACAGGTATCCTGTCGCTCATCTGAGACAAAAATCCTTGAGTCAACATGGAATCCGCTCCTGTTCCCATCATGACGGGTTGTCCAGTTTAAGCAGTTCCAAGACCTCATTGTTAGCTGTCCCAGACACTGCGACAGTTTTGAAACATGTTTGAATTTCTTCTAACCAAACATGTATGTGACTAACTTGGAGGCGAGTCTCAGACGAGCCATGTCGAATGAGCGCACAACAGGAAACTGAGAGTGGGGAAAGAAGGAGGCCACACATGAACGTTGCTGAATATCACGTTCATTAGCACCAATCGCAGATCACACCGTTCCAGCTGATAATCAGGATACCTCATCTAAGATCACTTGTGTAGTTTTTCTGTCCCCAAGTCACCATGACAACAGTCTAACACAAAAAATGTTTTATATTGTAAAACAGTACAGCAATTCTAAGATTCTGATAATGTAACAGTCTGCTTTATCTTTAACGGGAACACTGTCTCTGGAAAAATATGCTGCTGTTGATTATTTTAGATGTAACTTTTATGCATTAAAAGCAAAGTTCCATTCATCTCCATTGTATTTGGGGAGATCTCAGAAGTAGACATCTCATAGCCAAGACCATTAAAACAAGACTCTGCACGGGTAGATACCACTAGAAGTAAGTAAACTGTAGTTTGGGTGAACTGACCCTTTCAAAAGGTTGTTACACAGAAACAGTAACTAGTTGCCTCCCTCTACTGACCTGTTATTACAGTGCCTGCGGAAAAACCACAACTGTGAGAATGAAGCCATCAAAAGCAGAGCTCAGTATTTTTGTACATTTGGAATATGACGCCTTGACATTTTTTTAATTTTACTGAGTCATTTTCTTTGTTGTTTCATGAAGGAGCATGGCTCTGGCTCAAACTATAATTCCCCTTTGAAAAGGATGTCAAAATGCATTTAGAGCCCTTTGTGTTCCCTACGAGATGAGATGGCATTAATATGTTTCCGGGAAAGAAAAGAAATGTGTCAGCTTGCACTGGTCTTTATAAAAAATGAATGATGGGGAAAAGATGTTTGATTTTTCTTGCAGTGAAAGTTGCCTCCTACTGAATAATCCTCTAAATAATCCTCTGTCCTACAGAGCAAACAGAAATAATTTACACCACTCTTTTTATGTTTTAGTTAGCATATTTAGTTTGATCTTGAAGAGACATCTACTGTTGGGAGATGTGTTTTGATTTAACAATAATGTTTCCAAGTCATCAGCATACAAAAAATTCTTGATTCATGGAGCGCAGATATCAGCTTTTTTTACTTGTAGACTCTTTGCCTTTTATCTTTCATCTTTACATGTTTACTCACAGAATATCATGTGAGAACAGAGTCTTGCCTAACATGTTAAAATAGTTGCACAATTGTGATGTATTACATTAGGGATGTAACTGAATACATGATTTGAATATGAACAGGTAAGGCCTTCTGAACAGATGCAAACAGCTTCCAAATTGTATGCAAATAATGGTGGGGGTTTAACTGCAGTCCAGATATCTAACTAAACAGATGCGTAACTATGTTAGTTGCAAAACTATAAGTTCTACTTTGTTCAATCACTAACATGTATATTGTGCTTTTCATTGACATGGCAGCTGTGAACGTCCTTACACAATTCTTGCTCCCTTGCCTCATTCTTCATTTGTTGTTTTTCAGTGGTGGGAGATGCTAGAGACATAGACTGGTATGCCCCCAGCGGGGAGAAGATCCTCCCCAACAGGCAAGACATTTTTGTGAGCCGCAGTGATGAAACCACATCTACCCTCACCATATACCACGCCAACGTGGACAGTGCCGGTATCTACAAGTGTGTGGCAAAGTACGGGGACAAGGAGGCCCAGGCCACGGTCCAAGTGAAGATCTTCCGTAAGTCCTATCTTTTTTTTACAAGGCTACACAGTAAACGTTAACAACCCAGAAAGCTAAGTCTTTTGCTAAGTATTCATTATGTCCTCTTTTATGTTCTTCTCAAGTTACTTAAAACCTATTCTAACCCTAGCTCTCCATAATTATACAAAAAACAGTTTCTGTTCTGTTGAAAATGCACAGGGCTGAATTTGTGGGGTTGTGTTTTTTCCAGATAATGAAATATTATCTAGATAGTCCTCTTTGAGTAACAGAGTCCTGAAGGAATTACTCCCCAAAATGAGTTAGCATTTTTGCATCTCAGATCAATGGTTTTTTTTAAAAGGGTTTTTGGTAACATGCCTAAAATAAGGTCTGTGGTTAACACAAGCTTAAGAGATTTTCACCTTTTGATCTATAACATTAAATACGTCAGTAAATACCCCACCCGTGAATTTTTGAGCTTTTACTTTTCTTTAAAAATTACTGATACTGAAGTCATGCAACTGTGGTGTAGATCGTTCATAGCCTAACATTAGCTTTTTACTTCTGGCGATTGCATTTACACTTAGAAAATCTAAAAAGTTTCATTTGTGAAGATTATCTTGCTGAACAAAACCTGTAAGTATCATAAACCTTTGTTCGCCACAGAGCTTACTTTTTGCAACAATCCAAAATCCAGTAGAAAAACCCTGTTGGAACCAGGGCAATACTAAATGCCATAGGCATATAAAATACATCATCCCCTCAGCTCACTATAGATTCATGAGGTCGAAGGCTAATCAGATGCCGAAAACACTCCACGTGTATCATAATATTACGAGGAAGGATTTTGCAACTCTGGGCAGTAAACAGTAGAATTACAGCATTCGTATCACAAAGTAACCTACTGGCAATGTGGGCTTACACAAATTTGATTGGCAAATGCAGCACCCTGCTGAAGGACTTCACTTTGTGTTTTGGTGAAAGTTGAGCCAGGTTAAATCCTGCATTGAACTTCCTGCGTCGGCAACCCTCCCATGTCTACGTTAAAATGATGGCGCTGTGGGCGCCCGGTTAGCTCAGTCGGTAGAGCTGGTGACCCATGCACGGAGCAGCCCGGGCCCAAATCCGACCTGCGGCCCCCCGCTGCACGTCCTCCCCCCCAAAAAGGCCAAAAAATGTACTTTAAAATAAAAAAATAAGGGCGCTGTTTCTTTTCGTGCAGTCTGAACGCTTAGTCTTTGAACTGTCTTTACCTCGATTAACTTCCCCCACCGTCTGTGATTATACAAAAGCTTAGCCAGCAAAACATTTATTCGAGAAGCAGAAGCTCAACCATATGGTGTCTGGCTACACTGCTAATCAACTGTAAGATTGCACATACGAGTGTCAGTCTGAAAGTTAATATATTTAAAAACATGCATGTGTTATATCTCCCTACAGAAAAGATCACCTTCCAGAGTGCTCCCAGCCCACAGGAGTTCAATGAAGGCGATGATGCTGACATAGTCTGTGATGTGGTCAGTTCACCGCCACCCACCATCATTTGGAAGCATAAGGGCTCCAAGATCCAGGTTGCCAAAGACGGTGAGCCAGTCCAAATGAAAATGTACTCTCTCATCTCCAGCCTGCCATCCCATCTCATTCCCCTGACTCCCTGAGCAGTCACCTTTCCTTCCTTCCAATGCTGTCGGCCAATTCTTGCTTTCCAATCAGTTTGCTACACTCTTCCTCATCTTCTTGTCCTCCTGCTCATCATCTGTGAACAAAACCATGCATTTTCCCAGGGTAAAGCTTAAGACCTCATAGATGATGCATGAACACGGAAATTGTATTTTCATGCCCAGCGAGAAGTGGTTATTGTCACTAGAAAAGATGTCTGAGGGCAGATTGGACTTTTAAGTTCCCCAAATAGAGGTAAAACTACTCTGGAGGATGAAAGAACTGCTGCGGTCACTAACAAAAGATCAAATGCATCTAGACCAGGTTATCCAGGTCAGCTAGTTTAACAAGCTAAAGGCGTCATTTTATTGACATTGACATTTTCTTCAGATATTATTTTTTTTACCATATTTCCCTTGACGCCATCTTTTTTGTTCTTTGTAGAAGGTTTTTTTTTTTTTTTTTAGAACACAGACGTGGTAGAAGTGTTTCTGACAGTTTCTAGTTGGGTATGGTCCTGTCCCCATCGTACAGTAGGATTGCCAAAGTTTTCTCTTTATTGTAACTGTACTACACTCCACTGAAAATCTTTTGAGTATATCAAATATTTACTGCCTTTAGGCTTGAAAGGAGGTTTTGAAAAGTTTGTAGCTCGCTCCCTGACGAAGGACGGAATCTGTAATCAGCTTTTATTTGCAGTTGTTACCATGGATTCTAATGGTGAGTCACAGTCACAGCGGAGAACAAAACCGAACAAAACAAAAACATCAAAAGGTCTATAGAAACTTCTCAAACCACTCCTGCATTATAAGCCTTTTCTCCTCCGTTGAGCCCCATGTTCTAAACAATTGTTTATTTGCCAGTAAACATGTTTAAGAGCTATGAAGTGTGACATGGAACTAAGGTATTTTGCTCTCTTGTAGAGAAACTATGAGACTTTTTGAACATAGAGCACTGTAGAGGTGAACATTGCTGCAGAAGGGGTTTAGTAGTTCCTGTGCACATTTTGCTGTGACTCTAGGTCAACATTGGAAGCCATTGTAACTGCTGTGAATCTGACTGTGAAGCTGACTACAGCTGCTGTACTCGTTTACAATAAGAGTTGGTTAAGTAACAATAAGATCGGGGGGGGCAAATGATTTAGTAGATGTATTCATGAACAATTTTTGTGAATGAGTTCACCTGGCAAGTTTCTGGCAGCCGAGATCATCAGCAACATTGGTCCAGAGCAGCTCTACCTCAGAGAGTTCAACTAAATCTCCAGTCTGCTGTGTGAGGACTGAGGCGGAGATGAGGCAGGAGGCTGGGTTTTGTTTCACACTTGGACTGGGCTTATTTTAACCTAACAGTAACCCCTCCTTTGGTGACCGCTGGAGAGCCTGGAGTCACCACAGTGTTGTGCTAAGCCCGCCTTTATTCTTGGAGTCTGGTCAAGGAATGTGTTTTTCACTGGAAAAACCACTAATTGTAACCGACAGTGAAAACTTAAAACTGCTTATGTAATTTTCCTTAGAGCAGCAGTTGACCTAACCATGTGATGCATGTTGCATTGTTAAACCTCCCATCACAACTTTGTCACTGTAATATGTGTCAATGTAACATGAATTAAGAGCTTGTTTTTCTCTTTAAATACCATACTCACCCTTCAAAAAAGGTTTCACTTGAAATATTTTGACATTACTTTTACACTCTGAATCTTTTAGTTCACATTTTGTACTCATTTACATGTACATGCAGACAGGAAGCAGAAAACAGACAATATTGTGGAAATCAGTGGTGAAAGATGTGTTCAGGTTTGTTTTGCACCCTGTTCAAATACTACATTAGTATAAATCCTGCATTCAGAATTTCCTTAAGCAAATATTAACAGCTAAATGCACCGGTGTCAGGTGTAAAAGGCGTCATAATGTGTGCTCTTATTATACTTTTAGGTTTATTGTGTAAAATGCGAATTAATTAACTAACCAGTATGTCTGCTGCTCGAGGCGCATCCCAGTAGGATGTGAGGGAGCACTGCGTGGTTGCCAGATGCTGGATGTGACAGTAAAATTGGAGTACATGAAGCACTGTGGGGATGTAGTGTTTGTGGCAGTGGTTGTCCTACTACTACTTCAGGCAGCGTGTACTCATACTTATTATTAATTGCCGTAACTGTATCATAGAGGTTCATAGGCCATTATCACAACAGGTAAGTCATTGTTAATATCATTAGTAACACCTGTGTTAAGCTACATTAAAGCTACTATTTAAAATGTCCTTTTATAATAGGATAAAATGGCCGGCATTAAAAATGGCTCCATAAGAGGAGCCAGCATGGACTTCAGTGCTCAGGTTAGCCATTTAATGTTTTAAAGAGTTCGGTCTAGACCTACTCTATTTGAAAAGTGTCCTGAGATAACTTCTGTTATGAAGTGGCGCTATACAAATAAAATTGAATTGAATTTACATTCAGCTTTGTCCATTTCTGCCACAGACTTTATGAAAGAAGTGGGCATTATGGACAACCATTTTCAGCTAATGCTAGCACTACCTAGCTTGCTTGGTCAGAAAGTCGCATCCATAATTCAGGTTAATAGTGATGTTAATTGGTTCAAAACTAAATGTACCAGAAAAAGGCAACCAAAATGTTGCAATTGACTTTCATGAACTATAAACACACAGGGTCAAAATTATAAGACAAAACCTAGACAGCACCCATGTGTTTAAATGTACACAGTGCATGCATACACATTGTTAGGTTGGTTAGGTCAGTTTGCCGTGGTAGAGACTTATCAATAGCAACATAGCCGCACCCTAAAACCTACCCTGTTTTATCATCTATTTTACTCCAAATAGGACCGTCATTTACAAAATGAACATCATGCTCTATAGAAGTAGACTTCACACTCGTGATTAAGACCATAAACCCATTAGTAAAATGTTTACTGACGTAAGAAATTACGAGAGAAGTAGGGTAATTTACTCTTGCATACAATTGGACTTCTTTTGGCAATCAATGGAGTCGCCCCCTGCTGATCGTTAGAAAGAATGCAGGTTTAAGGCTTAACTTTTCAGACCTGGACAACCACTTCTTTCAGTTTATTTCTGCCCAGCGTATAGGTACTCTAAATGTACTGAGAGACCCTCCATGACTGGCAGGGAGTTATGGTGACAGTAGTTTAGAGGGGAATTTTTTTTGTCCAATAAAGTTCTCAAATCCCAAAAGTGATTGGGAGAAAATGTACGCTATCCCAAGCCAACATCCTTTCTAGCACTCAGTACATTATTATATGCATAAAGTGGTTTTATAGCACACAGACGTTCTTTAGTTTACACAGTGGACTCCATTAAATAGGTGGACAAATCGAAATCTTGTACCCACTCATTAGCATGGAAATTGGACTGGCGGCATTGGACTCCTCATCCCCAAAGAAAGAATCAACTGGCCTGTGAAAGCTACGCTTCACAAGTACACCCTAAATAGCCCGATTTTTAATCCAGTGAGTTTTAAAGTACATACTGGCCAGTCACAAATTTTAAATAAGTGCAATTTTCAGTTTCCCAAATTAGAACTTAAAAATAAAACACAATAACTCAGCTCCTTGTCTTATGGCTCTTAAATCCGACGTGGTCAAAGCCCTGGATTTTAATAATATGCTGGATTCTTTTCCCCATAAATGTGTGAGAAACACCTGGTTTCAGTTAAGACAGCTCACTCTGTTGCTGTGTGTTTATGGCTGGTTTAATTAGAGGTGCGACTGTTTGTCAGGCTCTATGATCGTTGTAAAACACTGCTGAAACATGTCTGGTGTAGCCAGGGTGTCGTGCAGGGCTCTCTGTGTTCTTCCAACCATTTCTGTGATTACCAGGGATAATTGGGACTTTTAATCTGGCTCCAACTTCCTGTCTGAGCATTAAGTGAAAGTTTTATATTCTTGCCTTGAACACTTGGTACTTGGATTTTCAAGATTCAAGGAAATACTCATGCTTAATGTTACACATGGTTGGGCGCTTGTTGGCTTTTTCTTAGATTTCAAACTATTGCATGCAAACATGGCCTATCATTTAGATTTTGATCCACTGACAAGAATTCATTCCTAATTTTAACTTGTTCTTGGAGCGGAAATACATAATTTGCTGTTTTGTTGTGTCAGGATAATCTTAATAATGTTGAATACCATATGTAGTAAATTAACTGTTCTCTGTTTGCCTCTTTTAGTACGATTCAAGATCATGGATAATGGCCACCTGCAGATCCGCGGCATCAAGAAGACAGATGAGGGCATGTACAACTGTGAGGCTCGCGTCATGCCCAGGGGAGAAATTGACTTCAAGATGATCAAGGTCGTCGTTAACGGTAAGCACTGCATCTCTCTCACCTTCTGCTCCCTGCCTGCCCTGATGGTCAAAAAGGAATGGTTGCTAAACATAGTAAAGATGAAACTGGGAAATACACCTTTTGCGATCCGAATGATGGTGTCAGTTCATCTGTCGACTTGTCTCTTTGGCCCCGAGCAAGATATCCAACACAACTACTGTCCAGATTATTGTGACATTTGGTATGGACATTTGTGGTCCCCAGATCTTCCCCATGATGTTTCCTTTAGCCATGCATAAGCCAAAATATCTGCTATAAATATCAAAATCTATTGGGCAGGCTCAACTCTTTATTTGGTAAAACAGAAAGGCTTTGTATAGCACAAAATGTCAATCATGCTTACATTTTATCACATAATTCCATAAGAAGGCAGATTGGACTGCTAATTGCTTCCCAGAATTTCTGCAGGAACTTGAAGTTTAGGTTAAGTCGGACCACCAATTTTCAGCGAATTTATATATGACCATGAATTGCAATTCAGAAAAGATGTTAAATGTTCATCTGCAATATTCTGTAATGGTCACAGTAATATTTACACCTCAGTTACCACCAACTACTATTAGAGTAGTTTTCTGAATTGGGCTATTGCGCATCTTTTGCAATGAAGCATACAAATTGGGCAATTGTGGACCAAATATTACCTAATTTGTTCAAAAAGCACCAAGATGCTATTTGCTTTGCAGCACAGTTAGGGATGCATTTCACCCTTTGCAGGTGCTTTATGGATTATGCTTGCTCCATGTACTCATTACTTATCCTGTATACATTTTTTTCATCTCTTTTTCAGTGCTCCCCACCATCCGTGCCAGGCAGTCAGACGTCAACGCCACAGCAGACATCGGTAGCTCCGCTTTGTTGGCCTGTGACGCAGACGGCTTCCCTGAACCCACCGTCACATGGGCACAGTACGTCATCCACTGCTGCCATTGGCCTGTTTTGATGAGTAGGATCTTGAGTAAGATCAGGGGTAGATTTGAACCTTCACAAGAATTAAGCCCTTTGGGTTTTTTTTCTTGACCTCAAAGGGAAACACCATTTTACTTCATAAATGAATTAGAAAAAGATACACGGAGAGGACCGTCTTGTGTCGCCTTAAGAAAAACTTCAAAGAAAATACTGGCAAGACAAGACACTACTATTTTTTTATTTGATTTCATTTGATTTCATTTGATTCAACTTTATTGTCATTGCAAGTACAGGTACAAAACAACGAAATGCAGTTTCAAGCATCAACCAGAAGTGCAAAGTAGTAAAGTGCAAAGTAATTTATAAATGTAGAGAAATGTGTAAAGAAAAAGTAATAATAACATTATAGATATATGAATGAATATACTGGCAAGAGATTTACATTATGAACAGTATTACCAGAGTAGATATATACGGCAATAAGTTAAGATATTTACAGTATGGGATTGAGACAGTTCAGTGGGAGTTCAGGGGGGTGGGGGGTCTCCTCGACCCAGAGTTTAGCGGGCTGACAGCTGATGGGAAAAAGCTGTTCCTGAGCCTGCTAGTTCGGGAACGGAACGACCTGTTGTGCCTCTCAGATGGGAGGAGGGCAAACAGTTTGTGTCCTGGGTGGGAGGTGTCCCTAGCAATGCTGCGCGCCTTCTGCAGACATCGCTTGCTGTGGACAGCCTCAGTGGTGGTGGTGGTGAACCGGTGATTCGCTGGGCAGTTTTCACCACCCTCTGCAGAGTTTTCCAGTGCGAGGCCGAGCAGTTTCCATACCAGACTGTGATGCAGTTGTTAAGGATGCCTCAGAGGTAATCTGCCAAGGAGGTGAAAACAGCCTGGTAAGATAAAGTTGTATCAAGATGATGTAGAGCAATGTAAGACATAATGATAAATCCACAAAAACAAACACACAGTACTAAGTCCTTTCAGAAAGGATAGTCTCCCTGAAGCTTATTCTCTTAGCAAATTCCAGGAACTATTGCATTAGCTGCACCTGATACTTCCTGGTCAGTTCAGTTAGTTGTGCACTTTCCGAATCAAATGTGACCTCTGGTTTATCTTTTGTTCAGGCTTTATCAATGACACTTCTATTAGGATGAGACTGTGCCCTTCAGTAACAGGTTGCCCGTATCACACCTGGATCAGGGGGCAGTCTAGCAATCTGGTGGACAGTTTTTCAGGGACGTTGTCGGGCTATCTCTGTCTCCAGCTGCTGGACACAATGACAATGACAATTTGCAGACTCACCAGGGATATAACCCCATATGTACTGACCAGACAGTGCAAAGATGCACATTCATGGATTACGTAACTATTTTACATCATCAGCTATAAATTCATATGACCATCAAGATTCTGAATACAAATGAAAATTACATTTTTTTTGACAATGACATTGACATCTCAACTGTTAGCACAAAGATGCAATGCATTCATGCAAAAGAGTGGCAGAAACCAGTTATTTAAAGAACAAACATTGAAAATCTTTCTAAAATTAAATGCATTTGCTGATTTTATCCAGTTAAGAGCCTGACTGAATGGCCCAGTATTTCAAGGCAGTACTTAAGTACAAAACCTGCATATCAACCCAAAGGACCTAACAATAAAGTTTTGTATTAACTTTGGCTTTGTAATAAATCTGAGTCATCTTGTTTTTTAACTAGTAGGAAAAGGCTGTTGAGTGCTGAAAGACCTCTTCAACACAGTGCCTGATTTAATCATACACTTGCTCCGCAGTAGCCATGCTAAAAATATTCAGCCTCAGATTAAGAATTTCAACTTGGTTCCTCGAACTAAGATCAGTTCAGTTCTTTTTTTTGTTGAATTCATTAAAAACATATGCAAATCAAGTTGTGCTCCAAACAAGCCATCTGAAATGGTACTTTAACAGTAACTGGAAGTGAAAATTGCATGTTTCAGGTTTAGAACTAATCCACTGAGGCTGGTAGTTTGTTTGCCGCTTTATAAATGGAGCCTTCTGATCAAGTCTGAGATTTTAAAAAAGAGGTAAACTCTTCCTCTTGCAGGTGATGGTGCCTGCTTCTCGCAGCCATTCTGGTCAAACTCTTTGTGCTTTTGCCCCGTTTTGCAGAACTGCATGTGCACATACATACATTACAGGGAGTTGGTTGATGCAGAGTGTTTGTAAATATGGAATAAATATGAATTTGCATGGCCTTGCCTACAAATAGTTGAGTGGGAGAAATGATTAGATTTACATGCATTAACATTTGCATGACTGTAACAAGTGCTAAACGGCTTTTATTAGGCTGGTTTCCATCCTGCACATATTATTTAAATTGCATACGAGTTTGATCTGGTCAGTGTGCTTGTACAGCAGGCACTCATGCATGTGTAAACCAGTGAATCTGCAGCCAGTTGCACCAGCTGCTTGTAACATTATACATAGCCTAGTCAGAACTTACTACAAAGCTGAGATTTAAAGCATATATATATATATATATATATATATATATATATACATACATATAATAGAGCCTAACAGATAGAATAAGAATATGCTTGCTACAAAAAATATAAAATATATTAAACTTACAGCAACAAGGAGTTGGGATAGAAAATGAGGAGCATATTTGTGTTAATTGGGTTTCATTGGCTCTGAAAGTCATGATGCGGCAGCAATATCGATATTTACGGTGATGCCTGCATTTTAATTGGATGCTGGTGTTTCTTAAGATCTGATTTACACATTACATTACTGGTTTGATAGCTTCTGAATCTAAATACAGTAATGAATCAGCCAATCTGAGTCATTTAAAAAATAAAAATCACTTAGCTCCCCGGGTAGGGCACGTTCCACGTTTCAAGGCCGGGTTCCAGTTCAGTCTTAGGCCATTTGCTGTATGTCATCCCTTCTCTCTCCCCTGCCTTTCCTGTCTCCCTCTACTGTCCTGTCAATAGAGCAAAACACCACTTATCAAATCTATTCAAGTTTAACTTAAAGGACTAGTGTGTAGGCCTCCCGTGCCAAGTGTGTGTAAATTACAATGAATCTAAGTTCTGTAAACTGAACAACAAATTCTCAAATCTCATTGCCCTCAAAAACAACCAATAACAGTGTCAGTCAGTCTGTGTTTATCTATCCACCGGACACGCCAACAACAAGGATTTGAGGCTGTCACATAACTTCCCGACAGTCATGATTCTTGACACCTGGCAGGGGAGATACTATGATCAAGAAGGTGGTTCACCCAGGGCAAGGCTCGAAATGTGGGAATCTCAACTGCATAATAGCTGATAGCTGGTAGTATTTGACCAAACTGGAACAAAATCCCAAATAGGACCAGCTTACAGGAACCCAACCATAGGTAGAAAGCCACATCTCTACAGAGTAGAGTTATTTCTCAGAAATGAGTTTATACACAAACTTAGTATTGGAAGTACCATTAGCTGTTAAAGTAACTTTATTTAGTATGAATTTGTGATGCTTGATCACCACTCAGTTTTGACAAGTACAAATAACCAACATTCATTTCTCGTCATACAGCTGTTTGCTCAATGTACTTTCATATTCATGGCGCATCATTAACTGCCGTCACTCAGCAGCACCACCGCTGTGCAGAGGATTTTTTGAATAAGGTTGTTTTGCAGAGATGCCAGTGAATAAAACTATTCAACACTCTGATGCTCCTCACAGCTGTCTTCCATGCAGCAAAGCTGGTGTGTGATGTGGGTGTTGAGGCTGAGGAAGATGCAGTTCCAGGCCAGGAGAGAGTTGGGATAGACAGTGAGGTTGTAGGGAGGACAGATGGGTGAGGCAGTGAAAAAACAGTAGGGTAAGGCTCTATTTGTTATTTGTCATTCACTGTCTGCCTGCAAAATGCTTTGGGAAGGCTTCGACTCCAAGCATACAAATACGTAAATATCCACAAACAGGATTCTAACCCCTAGTGAAGACTTCGGCCTCTCAAGAGTGAAACACAGTTTTCTCAAGAAGCATGCATCGTCGTCAAGTTGGTGCATGACCTTCTTATAAACACAGGTGCAAGGGCTAAAGCAGCGCTGAGGCAAACAAAAGTTGTGGAAATGCTAGAGACGTTCTCAGAGGCATACGACACAGGACAGCTCTTCTGGTCTCCCGACATTTGTTGTATGCCACCTGCTCTCTCCCTGAGATAAAACCCCCAACAGATCATTGTCAGTGAGTTAAAAAAGTTATTTGTAGGCCCCTCAAGTTGTGTAAGCAAACACTTGTGATGTGCACCTCACCATGTCTTTTTCCTCTTTTTCTCTCTTCTACAGTAACAACATTGTCCTTGAAACGGGTGATAAGTACAGCCTGAACGAGGATGGTTCAGAATTGGTAATAAAAGATGTCAAGAAAGTGGATGAAGGAGATTACACTTGCATCGCCAAGAACAAGGCAGGAGAGAAAGTCGAGGAAGTCAGCCTGAACGTGTTTGGTAAGAGAATAACTCCATTCGCTTACGATAGCATAAAGAACACTGTGGCTCTTTTTCTCTCTCTGGCCTTTTCTTTTGTACTTATTGACATTTGCTGTACACTTCTCTACAGCTTTTTCAGTGGCTGAGTGCAGGGTTACACAGCGTGAAGCATAAAGTTTAAAGAAAAGCATGTCCTATTGGAAACTAATTAAGCCACCCCTCAGGACACTGAGAGATATCACGCTGGAGTTTCTCTTCATGAGGAAATTTGCACCAGCCTTACGTAATCATGTGCTTGCAGCTCTATTATTTGTGAATGGGGTATGAAACTCTAATGAAGGCTGTCTGTACACAATAGTGCTTTAACCATTGATGAAATGCCTCTGTATCATGTGAACCATTTCATTCGTGGTGATGAAAACCACAGAAAATTATCAGCCAACTCTGCTGAGCTTTTTAGCCTCTTATAACTTACTGTATTGGTTTTCCACAAACTCCAACGCCATCCAGATCATTTCTAGCAGCAACAGGCAGATTCTTTCAGCAAAAAAGCTCTGGTAAACCCACTGTACACTCCTGCCCAACACCAAACAACAGAGATTGGTGTTTAACAACCAGCTGGTAAAGTAAGTTAAATATCTAGCAGCTAAATAGCTAGCTATTTTTTTGTTGGTAAAGGCCAAAAGAGAGCTAAAAAGAGAATAAATAATTATACAATAAATCAATAATACAATTACCAAGCGGCCAATTATTTGCCCATTCATCAGTACAACTTGGTAGTGTCATTGGATAAAACTGGTGTGCTTCCAGCTTTTTCCAAAAATCAATCAATTCAGTTGTAGAAGGACTGTGATACAACTTCAAGGGACAACATTGTACGTCTGTGACAGTATGGATTTTTTCTTACAGCAGCAAAAAAAACAATGTATTACTGCAGTTATACAGTTCAAAGCCAATGCAGCAGATACAGTACTAGCAGTAGGGCGCAATAATCTTTTTGTGTGAACATTTTTGTGGCCCTGATCAGTAGAACAGAATTCAGAAAGCCATGCTTCAGTTAGTTTTTTGTCTTGGTTCTAGTGCAACCCAAGATAACCTACCTGAATAACCAGACTGCCTCCGAGTTTGACGAACAAGTCACCCTGACCTGTGAGGCCTCAGGCGACCCCACACCCACCATCTCCTGGAGTTTTGAGAACAGGGTATTCACTGAAGGAGAGCAGGTACGGATTTATGTATTTAATTTTTTCTTTCTTTTCAACAAAGGTGGACAATGCCACAGTGTAACAGTACAATTTAATTTACAATTTCATGTCCTTATGTTAAAGGCATTATGCCATTATGCCTTCTACTGAGTCTTGGCTAATACTAAAAACCATCCTCTATCATTCTAATAGAGGTCTTTCTAACAGACCAGTATCTTTGGGAATAGAATTTAATTCATGTGGCCCATTTATTCAAGAGGATTCAGATATCTCATTTTGATGTCTCACAGAACTTTTAATATTTATAAGTGTTTTCATGTTGAATGTCTGAATTCTATTAGTTGCAAAGTATAAAACATTCATCCACATTAAAATAGTTCCAGATTCCAGTGAAAACCATGTTTAATATAATCCTGAAGGGTTCAACTGGTCAAAAGCTTGAATAAACCCCAGCATGCTACGAGATAATGAGTGCCAACTGTCAATGATGACTTGCACTACTTTTGGCAACACAGCGCAGACTCTGCAGACCCTGGTAACCTGGACTCAAGGAAATGCTGTTATTGAAGAAACCTCTACTAAATTGTCATTTCTTTCAGAAAACCAGGGGCATGACTCCAATCAATCACAGAGCTCACACGTCCACCAATATTAACATGGATGTATGAGCAGTTTAACCACTAGTCCACTGACTTGCATTTTTTGAAATGACTTCATTGTGCTTTATTTCCAGCTCTCTCTTCTTAGATCATTAATAGCCAATCTGTTGGCCAATCAGCCCAGACTGCTTGCTGTGCTTCATATGCTCAAAACTTCTTATTGAATTTACCCTTTGAACAGTAAAGTTTGGATTCCACCATCTCTCTAAACTTTTGGAAGCCTTCTCCAATACTGCAGGAATTGCACTAATGATTTTGTACATTTCCATCATGAATGCTAGAGGGGAGAGTGTGCAGATTGCCATAAAACCAATTTCCAGGCAGTGCCATGGCATGATATTCCCCAGTGCTGTTAAGAGTATATGTAACACTCTACTTCACTCCCTATTAATCATTAGCATTTAAAAGGGAATATTTTTTTGTGAAATTACTATGAAAAGTGTTCACAGAAAATTAAGTGAAAATGATTTCAGTAAAATTAGCTTAATTATTGCTGTGTTAAAAGCCAGAAGCACTGAGTCTCCCTTTATCTAAAAATCAGACTGTTTTGAGCTCATTTTCGGTACTTGGCGAACTGCTGTGATTATCCACTTTGGAAATGAGTGGGCACTTTTTTCTCAGGATGAGCAGGATATAAGAGTAGAGGAGTCTTTGCAAGTAAAGAAAAAAACACCAAGGGTTATGCATCTTTGTCATGCTTTGGTGTATATCGTCGTTTTTCGTTTAATGTCCTTCAGGAGCGCTGGAGATAACACTGGATTAAAGCTGTGGCTATAGAACATGGTAAAAGGCTTCTTAAGACGTGTGAGCTTTGAATACCATCCGTGTGCATTTCCTCCATTACAGTGGTCACAGCGTGTTGGCAGTCGCCAGCCTGAAGAGAGACTCTCATCCAAAGTCTATTGTTAGGCTCTTATCAGCTCATTAAAATGGTATAATTTTGAAAAATCCATCTTAACGGTCTATTCTGACAACATGCATCAGCATGAACAGTAGACGGATTAGTCACTTCAGAGGGGTAATTTTCTGCTGTGAATGCAGTAAACAGTATTAAGATAATTACCTTGCTGCCTCTAGCAGGTTTGTGGATGCAGGAAGAACACCTCATACGTTGGTTAGTGCTTCAGCTTACCTTAAATACTGCAAAAATTAATGCTGTTAATAATGTAAGTTAGGTACTGTGTATTTCCAATTGCCATCGTTATGGACTGGTACTGGTACGAAACTTTGCTACCATGCAGGAATGAAATTAGCTGAACAATAATATTAATATGTCTTTATAGGCTATCATATGCTATTTTTATAGTAATACTCTTGAATAGGGCTCAGTCTGTGGTGCATTTTTAATCACACTGTCATGTGCAATATACTGATTTGTTATTAAAGTAGGTGATTGTACATGAGGTAGCCAGCCTGTCAGAGTGTTGCATAGAGGACTGTATGAGTTTTGATGGATTAAGTAACCATTATGAAATGCAGAATAAACAAAGATTTGGCTTGGAGTTTTGGTTTTATGCTCAACCACTCTGTCTCCCTCTCTAGTGCACTCTCTCTCACAGAGAAATTGTCAATGTAAAAGTGGTCCTCTGGAAACCCCCCGCCTTATGTTATCAAACACAGTTGTTGTGTGGATAAAAATGATATATGCATGTAACAATGGGTGCACTATTCTCGGACACACACACACACACACACAGAGAGAGAGAGAGAGAGTGAGAGAGAGAGAGAGAGAGTAGTGAAAGCACCTGTCCTGTTAAGTCCCAAAGGAGTTGCATAATATTTGGGCCATAATGACCTACTTTACTTCACAGCTCTGTCCAGCTACTGTGATAAATGATGTCCTAAAGCTGCCATGAAGAGCATTTTTTTACATCAAATATATCACTGTGAAATGAACCGCTCTACCTTGGTATAACAACATCAAATTAAAAATACCACAGTTATGACATGTCTTTACTAATGGTACTGGTAAAATGAATATGGATGAATAAGATCCCAAGAAAATACCAAAACCAACAATGTGTTAAGTGTTAAAAGAACTGGCCACAGTAGTTTCAAACTTACTAATACAGGAGTCAATAGTGCATTTGTTGCAGACTAGTTTCCCTAGCAAGTATTTACAGCAGCAGGATGATGCACAGTATATATAAAGCCCAAAAGAAGAAGAAGATGAAGAAACATAATTGTTGGCTTTTGTCAACTTTTGACAGTGTTAAAAAAATAGATTAGCGCTAGCCTTATCCTGTAAGCAACCAGAGACAAGGTGCTTCATTCATTTAAATGAGAATCGATTTGGACTGGCTGTGTAACATCACCATACATTATTATTACCAGTAATTACCATTCCTTTTTTTTTTGTCTAAAATGTCAATTAAGCTACCGTTCTTAATAGTCATCCTATGGTCCACCTATGTGCCTGGGAGCTGATAAGACATTTCCCATATCTGTAATGGCTTTGTGAGACAATCTATGCTTATTCTATTTATTCTAAAGGATAAACGTCCACATTACTAGAATCTATGAAAAATGTAGCTCCCTTTTCTGTTAGATTCCATTTTGGAAGAACAGTGCAGTCTTTTTTTTTTTAACCAATTATGCAGATTTCAACCAGATTCTGTGGAAGCGGAGGGTAGCAGTGCTTAGAGACTTTATGAATTCAATCCAGAATCTTCCCAGTATGATGAATGATTTTCTATTTTTGAGCCTGCCTTCAGTGCAGTCAATCTAAGACTCTTAAGATTTTACCCAAGGGAGAAATAGATAGAAATTTAAATATAGAAAACACCATAACAGGACTTGAAAACTACTTTGCTCAGCAAAACTTCTCAGATTAATTACTTTAGATTAACAATAAACTAGGAAAATATATAAAACCACAAAAGCACTTCTAGCTGCAATTAGTCATCAGAGCACATTAGTCACTGTGAAATAGGCGAAATGAATTACTATGCAATACAGCATAATGCACGTAGCCTTGTTGGGGTTGTGCCAGAAATTGGAATACATGCAACAAGTGCTTCTGCTGCTGGCATGTCTTCACCTCGCTTTCATGCCAAGAAAATAAATCATTTCACAGAATAATAAAGAATAAAAGTAGAGTGAAAGTGGTACAGTGCAAGTATCTTAGTTACTCTAGATTCATACTCAAATTTAACATCCAATTTTGATGTGAGTCACCTCATTGTTTTCCTGGTAGCGTCAACAAACTTTCATTTTTAGAGTTACAATTTGGAAGCTTCTACAAATAATACAATCATTACTCTGTTTCTTCCATCCAGTGAGTGTTTGATTCTTCTTCTTTCTTCATTTGTGCCGGTGGATTATCAGAATAGCATTTTGATTCTGCTAAGGTGTCCCTAGTTTTTCCTATTAACTTTGCCATTTATGACTGCCAATCAGTGGGAAGCATTCACACAGCACAGTGCATTCACGGCTGTTTTGTAAGTTACTGAATCTTATCTTCCACCTGCAAGATGGGACTTGCCTGTCGCCACTCACAGTTGTCACCGAGTATCTTCTTCCATTCCACAGGCTGTCATCATCCCTCTCTTTCCTATCTATCACTGTCAGATCAGTTTTGATTTAATGCTGCAGTAATCAGAAAATCCCGCTGATCGCTTGGTAATAGCTGTCACTAATTTCCATTGGATCGTCATTCATCATTGGTCCCTTTCCTGTTTGCCACGCTCTGTCCTCCCTTCACGTTCTAGTTCTACATCATACCAGTCGAGCAACAAGAGCACAGACATATTCGTAAGGATGTCAAATTACAGAGCAGTCATTTCGCCGGCTGCTGCGGCCTCTTTTGAGTTTCTTGTCTCGTAAAAAGTATAGCGGATGTTATTGTATCATGTCTTGAGAAGGGATTTCGGTGTGATGCTGAGGTTCTTTGCACATTCATACCATGTTATTTTTCACGCCATGAGATTAGAATTATCTGTATGTACTTGTTATTAAAGGAAGATAAGTGGTGCACGCCAGCGTACTGTACATAAATGAATGAGTTAATCAAAGCACAGAATGCTATCATGAGAAAGCCGCTGATTAGGAAAACAAAGTCCCTAGATACCGGTAATGGCTGCCTCATAATTAGTTTCAGTGGCCTGTTTTCCTCAGTGTGCATCCAAATTCTCCCTTATTACAGTACATTAATTAATAACTAGCTGAGAAGCCCCCATGCTGCTTTTGGAAAATATGCTCCGGTTTGGCATTTTGACCAGTTCTGTAAATTCCCTGAACACAGTTGTACTGCCAAACCGGAAACCCTGACCTCGCCAAAACAGTCCTTTTCACTTTAAGAACCTTGAACTTAATGATGTTGGATTTTAATATTGCTTCTGCTCTATCTTAATAGAGTAGTATAATTTAACTTTGACAGAATTAATCATAATTGTAATAAATACGACTTGGTGGAAAAATAATTCAGTCGTATCCAATGTGAAATTAAATCCTTGTAATCTTCATCAATGTTTTCGCTAGCTCTGTATACATTTTTGTTTTTGAGAACAAAACCAGTGTTTATACATGTTTAAGCCCCTTGACTATAAATCATGAGAACGTTACTGCTGCACGCTCCACAGAAATGTTGTACACAACATGTTAGAATGTGTTCTCCTGCCATTCAGGCAAGCATCGGTTTCCATTTATTTCACTAGGGTATGAAAATCAATGCACAAACCTGAGTTGGGTAATCTGTCACATTAAGCATTATGTCAGCATTAGTTTCTATCAAAGCTACATTAATGTTGCATGGTAGACTTATTTTAGCATAAACAATACAATACCAAAGCAGACATGAATTTCACCATGATGGATTACCTAACTCACCTGGAAATTTCAAAGTCACTGCAAGTTGATTTCCCTATCAATTTTAAATGGATGGAAATCTCCCTAGAAGGTATACTCTGGTATTTCCTGGAAAATGATTGGCAGAAATATTTGTAGCCAATGAGCTAAAACATTCAAAATCACCAGTATGGTCCCTCAAACATGAAATCATTTCACATCTCCTGCAGGTAAATCCAGTCTGCACTCACTCTCTCTGTGTTACAAAAGCTTATTTTGCCCCACTGTGTCGCTGTTTGTCTTTGCTTCCTCTGTGTTTGTCCTCTCTAGGCTTCTTGGACGCGACCAGACAAATATGAGGTATGGCTACTAAATCTGGTAGCCTGACTCTAGTTGTAATAGCCCAGACTTACACAGTAGACCACCCCTTTTTATTGCAGAGCAGAAGTGTTTCCCACCCAGCCTACATCTAATGCTCACTACAATTAGTTGTGCATAAATATGTAGACCATTAGACACGTAGTACAGTACATTTAATCCATTTAGTTCCAGTATGCATTTAGACTTGCCCTATTTACTTGTCCCTGTTTATTTTTGTCGACAAATTCCATCTCGAGACGCAGAGACGGTCACAGTATCTCAAAGTAGATGTTCCATTTTTTTGGCCATATAGCATGCTGTTGTATCCTGTTGCATGGTCTGGTTAGTTCTCAGACTTTGAGCCTGCAGCTCTACAACCTCACATAGAAAACACTGTCTGCTCTGCTGAGGGCCAGCCATGCCGCTAACATAACAATATACTAAATCTTAACAGAGTGGTTTAAATGGTGTAGCCTACTATCATAAGCCAGAAGTCTGCATGTTTTTATTTCAACCGCAAACTACAGCAGTCTTCAGATACCTTCAGTCGGAGGGAGAGTCAAATCATCTGGGGCCTCATTTAGTCTTACTGGATCACTTCAACCAAATTACAGAAAGAAAAAAAACAAGTTTTCTCACTTACCCCTTATGGTATCTAGTCGTGCAGATAGTTTTGGTTTTATTTGTTTATTAGTTTTGGGTGTATCTTGAGATTTCAGTTTGCACCGCAATATGAGATATAATTTGTGCTGTGCTCATTTGAAGTGCAGGGTCTTATGATTTAGCTACGTCTCTTAGAACACTAGTTACCACTATTTTAGGAATCAAACCTGCCATGGGAAATTATCACATGCATATTTAATTATGAATCAAAAAACACTTAGCTCCCTGCTGTAGCGTTTGATTGGAAAGAAACATGCAAACTCTTGGCCCTCCACAAAGTACGAACTACTGTACGTAGATTGAACTAACACTGTGTAACAAGCTAACTTTATTCACTGCCACACGTAATAATTTACCTTACTAACCTTCACTGTGAAAATACACAATGAACTCCATGAGTACATGATACATTCATTTGTGCAGCTCAGAATTCTGGGCTGTGTGCAACAACTCTACCCAGTTTCATAACTAGTTTTGTCTAAAAACATACAATACGCCTCTGACTGGTTTAATTAATTTCATTAGCCAATCACATAATTCAGTTTTTGAAGTTTATTATAATTACCGTATCACGAGTCTGTTTAACACATCGCAGCATGTGGCCGGTGTGGCGTCACATTGTTGAACAGTCACCTGGATTTCAGGTGGTGATTTAAGGCGGCTCAGCCATTCTGGAGAAAGATAGTTGATTGTTGAGTCTCATTCCCAGGTCATTAAATACCGACGTGTTGGTTTATGGTAAATGGGAAACAAACTTGCAGCGAGCGACACAACACTCCTCCCGTTTTCGAATACCAATGAAAACAATCAGCTATCGTTCTCCAGAATGACTGACCCTACCTTTAAGGCCCTGCAGACCACAGTTGCAGCATATTTATTATTATGAGATGGTCTCATTATGCCATGAGTTATTTTGTAGTTTACATTATAGTTGGCGCTGATACTTTTGTTTTACTTCTCTGGTTATAATACTGTTCAATGGACACTACATGACACTGCTGACTATGAAATTTACACAGAAAATTTGAAACTGAAATTCAACTTCTCACTTTTAATGTACTATAAGGTACTGTATGTAGTACATTTCCCATAGGTGGTTTCATTATTCCATGATGGTGTTATCCCTGTAGGTTTTCCCTTGTTTCTGTAGACAAGTAGCTACTGTGAGTAGATAAGTGTAGCCATTTGCCCTAGTTAAGTTTGCCCTTTGACAGTAGATGATTGCCAGTGAGAAGACTGAAGTTTGTAGAGCATGTCCTTAACTCTTTACTGTTCCCTTTCTCTTTTTCTTCTCACTGGTTTCTTGTTTGTCTTTACAGGATGAGAGGAGTAAGAGTAGAAACAGTGTGTTTAACCTGATATCTGGCTGTGTAGATGAAAGCATTGAAAACAGAAACACCACAAAACTAACTGGTCTCATGATCTACTTCATGATCTTATAAAGATATTGTCAGTCGATGGTTTTGCACAGCAGTAAAGACAGAAATGTTAATGTAAATGTTAAATATTTTTAACGTAGCCCACCAAAGAAAATCAGTTGTTGATGAATGCACTTCAAACAGCTCGGGAGTCAAACTAATCTGTAGTCACCAATAGTAGTTTTGCTTGCATTAGATTCTGGCTGAACTCAGATCTTTGATGGACATAAATCATTGGCTGCTAACAAGCATAAATTATATGATTAGTCACGGTGACAAATTAATTCTGAAAGGTAATATTATACTAAAGTGTGTCTTTATTTTATTGAGAAGTGTGCTCAAGAAGGCAGGCTGACACTTGAACCAGATCAAGGTCTGATTATAATAACCTGCCTCCTGAATGCCATTTACTGTATGTCTGCAGTGCTAAATAGACCATTCAGGCAATGCACAAATTTACCACCAATTTTTATTAAGGTTCATCAGTCATTAGTACACATCAACTAGACCAATGACAAAGCTGCTACAAAGTGTAAATAATGTAAGAAACACATAAAATCTGCTGTCTGTTCTTGTTAGCAGCTTGAATATCGAACAGCATCCAGGGAATTACAGATAAATTGAATACCTAACAGTACAGTATCCACCACTTATCCATTATGAACTGCTTTGTAGAATCATGGTAAGTGACTAAACAGCAGGGTCTCCAGGCCTCCAGGGCGCCCTGAATGTCAAAATGTTTGACTTTAGTTGACAAGGACCACTTGAATGCACCATTAGTTTCAGCAGACTGTTTAATTTCTGGAGGAGGTGCAGGTTCACCTTCATGTGCCACATCCTGCAAGAGGATCCAGCCCCTGAATCCGGAGACAGTTAATCATAAGCTTTATTCTAGCTACAGTCGCCATTTTAAGACATTGTTGGCTCAGCTTGTCAGGCTCAGCTCTACTTAAGAACATGCAGCTCTACTTTCATCAGCATAATCGCCCTTTCCACTGCAGAAATATAGAGAAAGAAAAGTGTATGTGCTGTGCATATGGTCACAGGACCTGCTTTTTTAGTCTCTGGCACTAAATTATGACACTGCTCAGGAGGTAATATTTCTATATTTATATATATTTAAAAGGTTGGTCAAGCAGAAGTCTTGTCACATCATAACAGGGATGTCAACGGGGTGCCCTGAAAGCTCACCTGGTGGAGCCCATGGCCCATGTGCTAGGGCCGGTCCTTACCGCAGTGGCCTGGGTTTTATTCCGGCCCTTCACTGCAGGTCTTCCCAGCACACAGTAACCACCATTTTACCACAGCGTCCGTATCGTCTAGGGCAATGGAAGAACAAAGAAGAAGATTTGTTGGACAAATGAAGGTGTCCAAGCCCTCATTTGTAATTTGAATGAGGAGCACATTCAGAGGAGCTGGAGTCAGCAAGTAGAAAAGAAATGGCGTGCCAGAAGATTTCTCAGTCTGGCAGAAACATAGTTACATCACAGCCGGGGAAAAAATTAAAGATTCAAGATTATCACAGAATTAAGATTAACAATGCATGCAGCAGCACAAACTGAAAAACCACAAAGGAGTTTGACATGCTTCATGACATTATGGGCCATCAGCCTGTTTGTGCAAGCTCCACTTCAGCATTGAAGTGATATAAAATCAATAACACAACCAGTTCAGTTCTTCCTTTGTTCTCTGTTCCACAACAGCTTTTCTCACGTACCAAGCAGCACATCAAAAGGACATAGCTGGTCCTTGAAAGGTTCTTGAAAGTTCAGCATGATGATTTTATTTTGCTCCTGAACAACTATTTGGATGGCTTTCAGTGTATGATTGGGGCCAGACATCCATGTTACTACCCACAGGACGAACTGAAATAATTTAGATGATTCCTACTTTTCACCCAGTGCCATCATCAGACCGCAATTCCAAGTCAATCAACAGTTTATGACCAAATACCTGCTAAACTAATAACATTCCCATCTGCCTCAGATGTACTTAAACATGGTGAACATTAGTTATTGAACCTTGGCAGGTTAACATTTAGCTCAACCACGGCTTCTATACAGTCCCACAAAACTGCTAGTGTGGCAGTAGACTCGTCTTGTCAATAACTCGGTGTGTTCTAATTATTCGACCCTAGTTTACCTCTTGTGTTGCCTGCTGACAAACCTTTGCAATTCAAGTTGGAGCTAGAAAATCCTCACATGTCCTCCTTGTAATTACCATTAGGATACTGACGCGAACAGTTGTTCCCAGTCGGGTATTTTCCGAATTCCAGCATGACATTAATGCAGCATTAACATCTTTTTATGGAGTCAGCGTGGCCGTAGGTGGTGGAGAGGTGCTGAAATATAGAAGCAGCACATATAAAGAGTGAGCCGGTTTGTTCACTGCATCACTGATAGTCGCAGCCTGCGCTGATTCTGGCTGGCAGTCTCTCCTACATAACAGTTGTAGTACAGAATATATGACAAGCGAAACATGTGTATTGACGGGTTATGTAACAGTGTCAGTTCTGCCCTACAAAGCAAAGAACTATGCAAACAGGGGAAACTGTGAAAAATCATTTCCATGCTTTCCATGACAAGTGCACTGTTCTAATTAATTTGGTGACAAATCAGAGTTGTATAATTAAAATGATTCATTGGAATGAATTAATAAATCCTGTTCAAAGGTCTGCCTGTTCACTTCTACCTCTGTTGTATCATTAAAGTATTATTCTCCATTAACCTTATCTCCGTTTACATTCCAACAGTGTGCCCAGTGCAGCTCCTTCCAGTGTCACTGCAGTAAGACAAGATTAATGCTGCCCTTTCAAAAATGTTCCAGGACACTCCCTCAGATCTCTAGTAAACAGCAGAGATGTTTTTGCCACATCTGCATCTCCCTGCTCTGCAGAGGATAACAGTTCATGCCATAATGCTAATATAACAAATATCATTCAATTATTTATAAAACATAAACACTGAAGCACATAGAATGCTTGAAATATTAATAGAAAATCATGGCAGCTAGAAGGAAGATGTATATTCCCTGTTGGTTTAAACTGTGAGTCGTCTGGAGGCAAGTAAAGCTATTGCTATATTTTTGCCAGTGTGAGTTTTCATAGGGCCTGCCACATGGCTCTTCTTCATTGTTGATGTCTCTTTTTTTTGACTGCAACCTTCTGCAGCATATTTTCAAGAATATATCTAAATTATTTTCCTGGTGGGAAGGTCACATTTGCTCTTTGGTAACATAATGTATAGGGAAATGCTCAGATGGGACTATAAACATTACTGAGAACCAAGAACAGAGCAGAACACAGAACCTTTGGCCTTTAAGGTAACAGATCAAGCTAGGTTGCAACACATGATTAAAAAGTCAAGTGAGGTCACTGGGTGGACTCGGATGTCAGCTGCACACCTGTGCTGAGAACCCTGAATAAGGCCTCCTCAGTGACCCTGCGTATCCACAATAAAACAGGTTCAGCTAAGTAGGCAGGCCAATAAAGGCAATCTGCTGAGGAAAATAAAAGCAAGGTTTAACAAGCCATTTGTCCCAACTGCAATTATACTGTTCCAACAGCAATTAGACTGTCTGTAAACCTGCAACTAGACTGCTAAATGGTAGGGACAGTAATCGACATACTGTAGGAGTTTGCAGTTTAGTGGCCCGGGCTTTGTGCACTCACTGAATTTCCAGGCGGATGCAGGGATGCTTTCGCAGTGATGTGATTTGTACATCTGCAAGAGATAGAAAGTTTGTTTGACAACATGTATATTTTAATGATTTTAGGATTTCTGTGTGCACCATGACCACCTAAATTTCTTATACCAAGGACAATAACATTAACTTTGACCCAGAACTTTTTTCGTTAGTTACATCCACACTGTAAAGGATAAGGCTGGCGTATTTCTATGTTTTTATCGTCTAATAATCCCCTGAAAATGTCAAAACCAACAGTGTGTTAGTCCTCCTTTCAGAACTTGTGGCTTGAAAAATATAGAATAACCTCAGTCTTATCCTTTATTTTATCATAAAAAATTAAAGATATTGACCGCCAATCTGTACAAGATTCTCTTTTTTCCACTGTAGGTCACCTGTCAATCAAAAAGTGTTATCACACTTTCTTTGAGTTCAGTTCTCATTACATATTCTATTTTTTTTATCCAGTTTATTACCAGCAAAGTAGAAACACAACCTCATCATCTCTTTCATCACCTTCCTTTCTTTCTTTCTTTGTAGGAAGCTCTCAGTGTTTAGACCAATAGCTAAACCTCAGCAGCTGAACAGGCTGGAGGGAATCACTGAGAGCAAATGTCAGGCTTTATAAGTGACAATAATTACTTTCTCTTTTCTTTGTAGAGCCTTGATAGAAATATTGTGGTACGCAGCCACGCACGGGTGTCCTCTCTCACCTTGAAAAACGTCCAGTTCACGTATGCCGGCCAGTACCTCTGCACCGCCAGCAACTCCATCGGCGAGGACAACCAGTACATGTACCTGGAGGTCCGCTGTAAGTCACCCAACTCTTCCTACACTTGCTCTCATGGTTCATCAGTGCTGTCACTAGTTTTCAGTGGTAATCCAGAATGAAAATCTATTTAATTTTAATTTAGCAGAATGGTTTTTGCTTGTAATGTGATAAACAGTGTTCATTTCAGATAATAAAAATTGTTTCTGAACAAGAATAAGCACATGCAATATCTTAATAGCAACCTAAAAGTACCTCAACCAGACTGATTATATATTGTATATATATTTTTAGTAGAACCTTTGAATTTGAGACTTTATTTAATCCTCCAAGAGTTCAAAACAAAGTGTGAACCTTTGTTGGAATCATCAAGCAGCACAAAATACAGCACACCTGGCCACTAAAGTGCAAGGTACAATGTGGAGCAGAGTGCAAAAATTATTTTTTTAAAACCATTTACTATTAACTATAAATCATTCATCTCCCAGCAATCACCACCTCAACACATAAACAAATACATCATGAATAACTGATAAGGTGCTTGACATCAACCAAATATCTTTCGAGAACCTTTAAAAAAACTGCCAAAAGTTCAAAAAACTGCCAATCAGATTCTCTAAAATAATACACCTTAATGTTTCAAACTCTTTGGACATTCAGAATATCCACAAATGCAAGTTCAGATTGTCCTACAATTAACAAACGGCGCCTCCTCAGTTCCTCATCAGTAACTCACACATTTTCACCTCCAACTTTGATCTTAATGCTGACTGAAAGCAACAAACAACTGTCACACACACGCACAAGTGGGTGGAGACGTGTTCAAAGTCAGGGTTTTACAAGCAGCATCTCTATTAGTTTAAAATCTGCAGAGGTGTAGTTGGAATTTTGTGGGCTCGGGTTCTGTGGTGGCCTGTTCATCACTTTACATTTCATCTCACTCGCAGAATGAAAGCAAATTATTGTATTTCTCAAAATGTTTAAAGGCCCCACAAGGAACTTTCATTTTGTGTTGTTTCTGGCAGCACTTGTAGAGAAAAGCGGTTGTGCCTCGACCCCGTCCTTTCATTGATGGCAGGCAGAAAGAATAACTTAGAAATAGTTTGTCTTCTCGCTGATGGTCGTGTTTTTTCATGTATGTCAGTGTTGCTGTCAGTGCCGATGCTCAGCTAAAGGAGGATAAAAAGACTAAAAGAATTATCAACAAAAATAACAGGCACACATCTGTCTTTAGCTAGTCCTGATCTGGAACATCTGCTGCAGCTGCTCCTGTCTCCGCATTTGACAGTCTTCAAATCAAATGTCCCCAAGTTATGAAGTTTCAGTTAAAAATGTTAGTGACTAGTTGCTGATTGTAAAATTCCATTTTTGACTGTGATATATTATCAGTTTGTGATGTAAATGTTGCTGTAAATTATGTTTTTGGTGTCCAGACATCTTCTCAGTATGTTTCTCCTCAGGTAGTAATTTCCTCTGTTTCCTAAAAATGTTTTTTGACACAGCGGTGAGAACTTTTGTGGGCTTTGTTTACTAGCTGTTGATTTTTCCTGTAGGCAGAAAAATCAATAGCACTATCAATATAACAGTAAGAGCAAGAGTGCACTACTTTCAAGTCAAGAAAATCAAAGGTTGTTAAGACAGAAGATCTCAATTTTGGATTCTGATGGTCTGACATCAAAAGGCGGATTTTGGTTGGTTTCAAAAATACACACTGAAAGACTAGACAAGTATTCTGTCTTCAGATAGAGTTCAGCCTGTTGCAAGAGCCTTAAAATACATTGTATCCTAAATTCAAGTGTAAAGTCAATATTTACTGGTTGGCTATAAAAGAGCTGCAACTAATGATTATTTTCATTATCAATTCATCTGCCAGTTGTTTAATAATTTAGTCTATGAAATGTCAAGTGTGAAAAATGCTCGTGATAAGACCTCAAACGTCTTGAAATTGCTGCTTTTGTCCAACTAACAGTCCAAAGACTCTTCATTTACTGTCAAAGGAAAGCAGCAAATCCTTACATTTATATAACTGGACCCAACATATAGTTGACATTTTTGCTGGAAAAATGACTGAACAATTGATAGAATACATAGATACTCGTGATGCTCCTGAACACATCATCAGGGATGTGACCTGAAATTATTATCGGTTATCAAAAGAGCTTTTTTGATTTGCCTCATCTCTTTAATCACTTAATTTAGTTGCCCACAATCAATATATTACAAGATAGCCGACAAGACTGTTTTATTTAAAAAGATAACATAATGTATCACTGGTAAAGTAGCTAACACTGGATATAATGGTCTGTCTAACATTACCTCAGTACTAATTCAGATCATTTATTGATTGCTTCTTATACTCTGTGTCACACATATATATGCTCACAGATAATAACGACTAACTTTGTGCATCAGCTGGACTCTCAGGATCACGTTGAATTGATCTTGCCAGGTTTCAATCTATGTGGTTAGTGTAGATGCTTTAGGAGATTCTTGATGGAAAATAGGTTTTTGCTCTTCTCCCGACTGGCTTCGGTAAGAGTTTGACTACATTACATGGTTCGTTGATCTAATTAGTTGAAGTTTGCCTGTGATGGAGAGACGGTTCATCCAATCATCTGCCAAGTATTTTGTGCCTGCCCTTTTCCAAACTGTTTCCAACGACAACTTCCCAGATGGTTACAAACCATCTGGCACAGTCAGGTTAAATCTTCTTCCAGTCTTCCATCTTGGAGGAAGACTAGAGACTGCATATCTTAACACAAAGCTATCCTCAGGAGAAACTTTACCATCAAGCGGAGTTCAACAGACACTGAAATGTACTTGCGCCCTGGCATTTTACCATAAGTAACGTACTCAAAACATATGCTTGGCAAGATTGGACGTGCATAATGGTAGACAAATGGAACTTGATCTCATTTTGAAATCTATCGATTTTAAAAGAAAGAAAGATCTAAATAAAGCCAATGAATGCTTAATTGGATTAATATGCCCTTCTCTCAATGCACCAGCAATTTGCTGAGAGATATAATCACAATGCAGCGTTGATAGAGTTGTTTGAGGGCTTGCAGTTAGCTAGAGCAATCAGTGAGTAATCAGGTAGCTGATTCACTGTTGCCAAGCAATTATCGATAAGAAAAGGTGCTTTGTCTTGAGCACAGCTCTCACTCTCTGTCCTCTCTATCACCACTCACCCACTCACGCAATAAAAACGTTATCTAGGCATGGAACTTCCTATCTGCTGCACAGCATGATCCCATTAGCTGGGCTGAGTTTGTCTATGTTCGCTGCTGAAGGACTGATAGGAAGGTGTTAATATCGTCTCTGTTTGAGCCCCGTTTTTGTCAGCGGCCAAGGTTTGTGTAGCATGAAAGTCTAATGAAAACACTGTTTGAGCTGCAAGCAGGTCGCTTCTTATGTACCTATCACCGTTCTGCTGGCTATACAGTTCGAAATTCCAGCTTCTATTTTTGATGTTGCCACGTTCAAAACACAATTGCAATGGTGATACGTATATTTTAAGACTGAAGCTGCACAGAACCATTGTTTGGTGACAATAGTCAGTGTGTTGAAATGTAACCATTTTCTTACCAAATAAATACTAAACTCAAAAGTACTTTCAAAAAGCCTGCCAAAGCTCTCTCCATGTTACAAAGTGATTTGCTCTATCTCCAGATTGTTTCAGTTTGGAGGACAATAGTGGGGAAGCATTGTTTCAGATAAGGCATGTCCTTAAACTAGGGGGCATACATTTATTGGCAGCCATTCTCACCGCCTTTTAAGCAAACTTACTCGAATTTAAAAATCCCCTGATGTTTGGTAGGCAGGTAGAATCAGCGTTTATGCAGTTATTTGACTCTAGAAGTGTCCATGAAGTTATTTCTTTTAAGTGGAAATCATTATTTGCAGGTAACTGTTTTGTACAGTATTGTAGGCTGTATGTGGCCTTCATGAACATGAACCACTAGCAGATACATTCCTGTTATTTGCAAACATATTGATAATCTCACCTCGGCCTGACTAGGGGGCTACAGAAATCAAACAGGCAGGCCACAGACACTATAGGGAGTTAATGAGGCCCAAAAATAGAATTGATAGAAAGAGCTAAACTCTAATCAGAGCTGCAGGCGATGGACCATCTATTGACTCAGCCCCGTCCATCAATCCCAGTGGCAGCATACTGCGGACTTTTCAAGGATCCGGGGTCAGAAGTAAAGCCCCGGCTGTGTCAGGGGCCACATAATTTCACAGCACTCAGGAAGCAAAGCATACTTCTCTGCATTCAGAAGCACTGCACAGTGATGTGAGCAGGATGTAATAAAAGGAAACAATGCAGGAAACACTCCTCTCCTGTTATGGCCCCTTACTTCTCAATGATGGAACTAAGTCTGGAGGCTCAGGGTGAAGAGTTTTGACCATATGGTATCAATTCAATTCAATGAGCATGTCAAAGTAGCTCGCTAAATGGGGCTCAAACTGTAGTATGAATGGTAGCAGGGTTACAGGTATTAAATATAGAGAAGTTGAGGTGAGAAGAAGGATCTAATGTATCTAATAATATCTAAGAGGATCTAATGTTCTCTATAACAGTAGGAAGTGTTGTAGTCCGGGTATTATTGACTGATCCCATTAGGATGGTCTTTGGTTGCATGCAAGTAAACTGTCCGTGTGGAGAGCAAAATGCGAAATTGCAAGTTCGGAACCAATCGGCTATCATCTGACGATTTTGTTTTGAACAAAACTGTATCAGCATTCAGATGCAGATATTTGTTTATAGAGACTGAAATGTGTCTTCTCGTCATTCCCACATATTAAGTTGCTAATCAGACTGCAGAGGAAGCCTTGGCCCAGATATCCATTGTCTGTTTTCCGCAGATCGGCTGGCTACCCGAAACACTGACAGCGTTCCGCTCTGGTATCCTGTTGACTCAATGTTCCTTATAACTCATGATCATGCACCTGTTAGTCTAGACTTTGTAATAATGGCACTCAGTCCTGTGAGACATTACATTTTTCATTTTTTCTTTCTTTTGCTGAGCTGCAGTATCCCGCAGTAAAACATTGTGCTTTTTTTGTCACAAATAAAATGGGGAAAAGTGACAATTTAATGTTCCATAAAACCAGCACAGGTGATCCTTAAAATGTAATGAATTTCATAAAAGATCTTGAATGTATAGAAGTAAGACAAATGCAGCCATTAGACTACACTTTGCATTTGTTTACCATTAAGATTACAGGTTCTGTCAGCATTGCCATGATTGCTCTGGCTGCCTCTGGAAGCGGGTTTTAAATGTCTCTTTTGATTATAAAGATTTCTAAATAAAGTGGCTCGCTGGTAGTCAGGATACAATCTGCTGGAAATGCTGAGAAGAGGAGCTTCAGGGAAAGAAGGAAATATTGCCATCCCACAAACGGCTTGCTCCTGCAATAGAAGACTCTGTGTGGCCTCTCCCAGCTGACTGATTCCTATCAGTGCTGTGGATTTTTCATACAGAGATTTGCTAGGTTTGATGATAATGCATATGTTTGTGTAAAAATGATATATAATACACCTCCTCTTTCCCTGGAATGAATTCAGGAGTTAGCACTGGATTATGGAAATATTATATTCAAATCCCTGTTAGATGAGATTGTATTAGTCAACATTTTATTCATGTTGGCAGAATCATTTCATAAACTAACGCCTACTGTAGACTGCTCAATTTTAGCATTTTCTGACTGTTTTCTGTGTTTAGTTGATTGTAGTTTCATTCCTTTGCATGACATCCTTCTCTCCTGGCCAGATGAGCCAGACTGAAGGAGTAAACACTTCAGATTATCAGTAAACTATTCCAAACACGCCTGTCGTTTGTTGTTTACCATATTTTCTCCCATGTGTTTTGCCGCAGATGCGCCAAAGATCCTGGGTCCAGTGACGGTGTACACGTGGGAGGGAAACCCAGCCAACATCAGCTGTGAGGTGGAGGCTCACCCCGTAGCCTCAGTGGTTTGGTTCAGAGACGGCCTCCAGCTGCCCTCTGCCAACACCACCAACATGAAGATGTACAACACACCAACCATCAGCTACCTGGAGGTCTGCTGCACCTTACTGACATTCAAAAGCATGTCTCGGAGTTCATAGAACATTTCCAATAAACTAAGAGCTCGGATTTTGGCAGGGAATGTCAGCTTTCAGATATTATTAGATTTTATGTCTACAACAGCTGTAGTTACTTAACAGATAAAGATCAACTATTAGAAGCAATTCTAAATATATTTTTTCCACTTTCATGTCAGAAGATTTGACCTGCTGATTCTTAAACAAATCTGTACTGAGGCTTTTTTGTATATCTTACCATTTCCAATTGTGTCATTTTAAATCAAGAAGAAAACAATGTAGTGGTAATTTAAGAAGGAATTTCTATTTGTTATTCATAGACTGAAGCAGGAAAAAACACTTCCACTGAGATAAGTGTGTCTTGAATAATGAACAGCTAACAAGTAGTTCAGAGCATCTCTGAATCAAGGATAATAATAGTAGACACGTTATTGAGAAGTGCTGGATATTACGTTAATGATTAGTTCCTACGGTAGATATCTGTGCATCCGCCTGCAGCCCACTCTCCAAATGATCAGCCATGAATAAACTGATGAATGGCACAAAAGCAATGGCTAATGATGTACATATTTTATTTTTTTGTTTTCACAGGTATATTTGGTTGCTAGGATATTTTTCTTGTTCACCTGCCAGCTGGACAAGCTGCAGTGCCTCACCACATGACCTGGTGTTTCTCAGTGTTTTTGTCTGTTTCCATCTCTCAGATTACCCCTGATTCTCAGAATGACTTTGGGAGCTACAACTGCACAGCAACCAATGTGATGGGAACTGAGTCCAAGGAGTTCCTTCTTATCCAAGCAGGTTTGTTTACCGAAAATTAGGCAAGGCCTTGAACTGAATGTGTGAAGCATTTAGGCAAAGGTTTAAAGGAAAAGGGTAAATCATTTAATATCCAATGTGTTTGGGGTTTGATGACTTTACAGGCCAGTGTTGGATGTGGTGACTTTGCTCATAATTAATATATGATAAATGAACAACCTACACTTTCCCACTTCAGTATTTACCAACCAGAGTCGCACTACCCAGTCCAACAACCCACAACAAAATGATTGTTCCAAGTTCAAGATCTGCCGTTGTTGGCAAAAATAATTAAATATTATTTGATTTATGTCAGTTGTGACAGTAAAATTTGATATTTGATACATATGTTTGGCTGGAGATTGCTCTGGGCATGTTTAATAATTGTGGTGTTTAGGGTCATTGGAAAGTTAGAAATCTTTGGTCACAACTTGCTCTTATATTTGCCAACTTTATATTTACACAATTTGTTAAAATACTTTGTAATATGACCTAGTTTAGACTACATAGAATTGGTTTATGGAATCTGAAAGCTGAACCTTATAATTTCAAACAAAACATTAGATCATTCATATCTCTACTCTATTCTATTTAAATAGAAAATCTTTCATTGTTACTTTTTGTAAGTCTGCCACGTGTCAACCCAATGAGAAGGTTCATCAGGTTTTGATCCCCTGTGTGGGAACATAGCTCCAAGGCCCATTAGAAGTTATAGATGACAGTTTAAAGTACATTCCAAAGGCAATCAGTAGCCAGTGTAGAGAGCAATGATATGAGAAATATGCATATGAAATCCCAGCAGCAGAGCTTTGAACAAGCTGCAGACAGCACAGTGATCTTTTACTAATGCCTGTAAACATGGCATTACAGTACTCAAGAGGAGAGATAATACATTTATGAATCATAGTGTCTGTGTTTTTAGAGAATCAAGATTTTTAGGGTTCAACCTCAGGATTCCAGCAGTGGTAAGGGAGATAATGAACGAAATGTACTTTAAATCTGGATTTTTACCCCATCAAGAGCCATGATTACGATTTCTGTTTTGTATTCACAGGGGTGTGAAGTGACACTTCAGAAAGGTGTTAATTTCCTTGAGACAATTAACAGGGTCGAAATTCAGCTTGAAACTGATATAATGTTTATGTACGAGACATCCAAAAGGCACAAAATAAAGTCCTGTTTTCTTTTTGCACTTCTTGGTTTGTGTTAGCTTTGTTTGGTATACAAATTGTTTTGGACCCATTAGAGGAGGTAGGTCACTCAGGACCTTGCCAAAATAAAGCGTAGTCAAATTAATTGCACTAACAACCTCTGCTGCCACTGTGTACTATACTGTATGCCCTTTGAGGTGTTTTTTCTCTCCTTTTTTCATTTGCTGCATAACTCATCAGTATGCTTAAAGCAACTCCATCCAACCACAGTTGGACTAAAAGGGTACCACAAAGAACCCTTCAAATATCTCTTCACACCCTATTTTCCACATTGATATGTCATTGAGAAACTCGGACATGTAGCATGAGGCTTCGATAAACAATTTGGAGTGTAATTAAACAGCCTCTGAATTACATACTAATTTACATACTGTTTAGCATTCAGAAGGAGAATCATTTTCAGTGTTGTGTCTGTTTGCATGGCTCTAGGAAGTTTGTTGACATACTCAGATATATTGATTATTAGTTGATTTCTTCCCCTTTAAACACAAAAATGAACATCCAGGGTTGCTGTGCAATTACTATTATAATGAAATGTTTTGTCTGTTCATTAGATTCATTTTCTAGTGTACAAGTGGAAGTTTTAGTTTGATAGAGGCACCAGATGAAAGGTCAGGAAGTCACTCAATTAATTATCTCCAGGAAACCTTGAATATACTGCATCAGATTTTATGAACAGTAATTGTAAAAAAAAAAAAAAAAATTTAATGGATAGACATACCACCCACCTGACATACTGATTAACATCATTAGGCACAGTCCTGAAAGATAAAAAAAACAAAAAAAAAAACAGCATAATAGTGTCTTCAGAAGACTAAGAAATTGTGTAGGGTACTCCATTTCTGTGACACCCTGGCCTATCTTACTGAATCAAACTGAAGCTCAGGCCAGAGGTAAAGCTGTCGCTGCAGACTCATTCAGGCATGTCCAACAGATCTTCAGTAATTTGGTGACCAGAGGAACGCCAGCACCACAGTGGTGAAAGGGGCTGATTGGGAGCAGGGCGTTATCAGTTCGTGCTGCAGTGGCAGGAATCTATCCGGGCCAACCACATCAGCTCCTCTAATGCTGTTAAATGCAATCCTCTCTCTGCCAAAGCACATAGATAGTTTAGTAAGGCACACATATCAGCCCAGTCTCACTCCCAACTCGTCAAATACTGCTGCTTGGTCAGTGGCCGTCCGCTTCAAATGATGACGCTGTCTGTTCCCCTTAGCATTTAACAACAACAGGGCTTTCACCCAGGAGACAGCAGTGTGTGTCCTGTGACCAAAAGTCAACATTGGCTTATTTTAAATTACGTACTTAATCTACTTAAGGTATGTAGCATAACTTTTGTGCCTAAACCTAACCAAAGTACAACCGTTTGACATCAATCACACAAGCTATATTTTGCCTAACAAGTCTAACCTGACGTTGCATATTTCTAACTTAATGGCGGAGCACTGCACATACAGAAATGCGTCATATTTTGAAGCAGAGGGCCACTGACAAAGTGGTCGTATTTGACGAGTTGGAATTAAGAATATGTTGCATACACAGTCCTGCAACCCTAAAATCAGATACCTATATACACTATTACCTATCGATCACTAGCTCATCATGAAATGTTTAAATAAAAATTAAATAGGTTGCATCCCCTTGGCCATATTGGCCATTAGCAAAGAAGTATTTTTTATTTACTCAGGAAATGCCATTCAAATTATCAGTAAGTAGAACTGTGTTTTCATTTATGCACTTACCTTATAACTGAAAAAAAGCTCTGCAGATGCATTCTAAATGATGACCAGGTGTGTCACACAACTCACAGTGGTGAGTGTGATAGTTATCTTGAGTAGTAAATTACATCCTGTGTGCCTTAAGCACAGCCACTACTCTTATATATAGAACGTTTTCACAGTGATAGTTTTACAAAGAGACAAACGAGATGCAAAGACACCATGAAATATAAAACTATTACAGGATAATGTTCCTGCTGCCACGTCCAAGTTAACCAGTAATGTTTAAAGTATGTTATAAAGTCCTGTTTACATGGCGTTTACAGTACATATTGTGCCTTTATCAAATATTATCAAGGACATTGTCATTTTCAGTTTTTTTCTGAACATTGCAGAGCAGTAACCATTGTATACTGTGTATACTGGGAGTCAGATGAAGTTTGTGAATCATTATATGTTGTGTATTTTATGGTATTCTTTGTATAAATGCTGGCTTTTAGAAAGAGCTTTTCAAAAGAAAAATCCATTTATATATATATTTCTTGTCTGTTGCAGAGGTGCCATCATCTCCAGAAATCGAACAGGTGGAACCTTTCTCCAGCACAGCAGTGGTAGAGTTTGACGAGCCCGACTCCATAGGTGGAGTGCCCATTATCAAGTACAGAGTGCAATGGCGTTTGCTTGGCCAGGAATGGACTGGCAAGGAGTACAATGCTGAGGACGGTGAGTCACCCATCCCGCCTGATCAGAGTTCATGTGATGACTGTTATGTGCCTCTCCTTTGCACACACACGTATCTGTAAAAATCTGTACAATGTCAATATATTTCCACATTTCATTACAGAGGGGAAATCTCATTTTGGGGCTTTTTTTAGCATCATATTTTGACAGCTGATCAAGAACACCTGCTGTGACATAGATTTCTGCTTGATGTAATTCAGTGATGAATTAATCTCTGAGTCACTACCACTTAACTACAGTTCCCCTGAATACCATAAAAAATCTACTTTTAAGGAAGCAAAGGGGAAGCAAGGGATGTTATTAAATTCTCTCTTCAAGCTCAGGGTTTTCTGCTCCTCTTAAGATGCATCCCTAAGCTACACCTTGGTCCTCTTAAACCATTTTTATTCTTAGCACCCAAGTGACACAAAGAATATAAATTGTTCTACTCAGTCTCCACTGTCTGACAAATAACATCCATAAATCAGTTTAAAAATAATGTAAAAAGGTGCTAATTAAAACTTTAAAGCTTGCCTCTTAAGTGTAAGAAGGTAATTTACTCTCTGTAATGCTGACAATGCATAGAGAGACTGAGAAATGACCTTTTGTTTTGCAGCTTTCACAAAATTATATTATTTATATAATATGTACTGCAACATCAGACCAAAAAAAAACACAGGGCTCAGGTGTAAGGCAGCATTAGCTACACTTCCTGTTTTCATTACCCAAAGCACAATGGGAACTGTAGTGCCAAAATCCAAATGGAGATCAACAGGGAGAACAATACATCTGACAAAATCCATGAAAGTTTGCTTTGTTCCCGTTACACATCAGTACATTTTTGAGTGGAAGTAGACCACGTTTTTCTTTATCATTATGAAGCATGTTGATTGCGCAGTGTAATGACTATAGAATGATGCCACCATCTGCATTTAGATTACTATGCAGTTCTGTCTGCCACTGGGCACGATTTTTGCCAGAAAAATGATGTCTCCATTATAGACTAAATGAATGACCAAACTCACACTTTCACTCCAAGTGTTTTATTCTAACGTTAACTTTACTCCCCCCTCCACCTCAACGCCAATCCCTGAGGTAGTGACTTGTTTGTGAGAATCTTATTGCTGTGCAATGCATCATTACAGTAGCTTTTACTTGCACCCAATTTCAATATGCATTTTTTAAATTCAATTTCAATACAATTTCAATTTACTTCTTTGGTGGTTTAGTGATATCTCCAAAGTGGTGCCCAAAAATACCACTTGGAAATGCTAGGAGGAAATATATTATATTCCCGGGACATTGACACCTACTCTATCAACTCAAAGATTAATAAGCTGTGTGAACATACCTACTACTTCTTCTTCTTCTGATTATTATTATTATTATTATTATTGTTGTTGTTGTTGTTGTTATTTTAGGGTCCATCTATTTAGAGCGCATCTCCTACATGAATGAAATATGGGCCAAAGCTGCAGAAAACACTTCAGCCAGCAATAACAGTTAATCCAAACGTGACAGCAGCTGATGTCAGGAGGAGAGGTGGAACACAGTGTAGCCTAAATGACAGTCGGCTCAGACATTGACAGGCCCCAGATAATATCCCCGTCCCACTGAGGGCTTGTGGCTCTTACAAATCTGGATGGTTCTCGTCCTGTCTGCCACATGGGACATATCAGTCAGCGGCTGACAGGCTCCGCTGTCAGCTCAAGGCCCAAGAGCCGCCTGTCATGCAAGCATATACACAAAACAAAACACATGCACCCACGCACCGACAGTAAACGTTACCAAAAATATCTCATTCAACCACCTCAACTCCTTCACATCTCCAAAACTCACATACACTGAATGGACCCTGTCTGATGCACTGTATAGTGAATACATTAGTTAGTATATTGATATATTTGTAGCATTAATTTGTCAGGAATACCAATGTTCTAGTTATTTAAGCTACAACATGCCAGGGGGGAGGAAGTAGCCTCTGGTGTTACTGATACAAAATTTTCAAGTGGCCATTGAGTTTAAAGTGTCTATCACAATATTGTGAACCAGGGCTGCCATCACATGTTTGAAAGCAGTACTGCCAGATATAGATACCACACCCATCACTGTGGTGCATATACAGATACCTACATCTGCAGTGTGCACATGCATGAAGCTACAAGTCAAGAGTTAAAGTACACCTGCTATGCTTTTTTCTGTACCCTCTAAACCTCTCTGTTAACAGTCTATTAACACATATATATGTGCCTCCATCACATATGTTCTGTAGAAAACATAAATATACTGTAGCTACATTTATGAGGCAAGTAGACTAAAAATACCCATCTTTGCTTTTCCATAAGAACAGCAGGCTTGTTGTTTCCATATGGCACAAGTGTGCACAGGAGGAAATAAATTGCTATTTTGTAATTTGTGTAACTTTTACCATTTTTGTTGGTCACAGGCTTAAAGGATAAGGCTGGCATTATGCTATATTTGTCTTATCGTCAACAAATCCCATGAAAAAACCAAAACCAACAATGTGTTAGTCCGACTTTCAATACTTCTCTACCCAGCCTCTGGCACTAAGCCCCAAGCCCATTCATTGTTACTGAAAATGTAAATCTTTAGAAAAACAGGTCATAAATACATGGTTTCATTTTTTTAAATGGCAAAATAATTTCCTCAAAAAGCTAGGCACAGTAGCTTTTAGCAAACGTTATTCAAACAGGGGTAAAATAAATAGTGCATTTTGTTGGGGACTATTTTAGACAGCAGGAAGGTGTGCGTGGGGTTGACTCAAAATAAATTACAGTCGCTGGGTTCATGGTAATGAAGCAACATGTCACTGGTTGGCTCACTGATGTGATCATAATAGTTTTTGGACAACAGTTGAGCTCCGTGGCAGACAGGAATACGTTATCAGGCTTTGCTTAAACAGACAATACCCATCATTGTTGGTTTTGTTGACCAAAATTAAATCAAAATAAGAATATTTCTAACCTTGACATTTAATTGTTGCATGTTGTGTTGAAATCCACACAGAAATACAGAAGGCAAAAATGTTTCCTGTATCATTTTGAGAAATTAACAGAGCCAGTAGACATTTCTAAATTAAAAGCTTATGTTTGTATTGTAAATGCTGCATTTCCAAATACAACATGATTATTGTGTTGCACTTCCTAGAGTTCCCCTTTCATATGGCACAAGAACAGAAATGCTGCCTGGCACAAAGTAATGTAAATTGTTGGGTATCTGAGTTTTCTAGACTTTTTAGTTTACACTCATTGTATTGACTCTATTATTAGTATACTCTTTTATAAGATTTTTGAAACATTGTGGTTGAATTTTTAAAATGTTTTTTCAATGATGTGAGCACCTGTTTGGTTACTCGCCAGGGCACTGTGTGTTTAATGTGAAAAAAGTTGCGTATTGCAGTTTTAAGCCTGCAACCACAATTGTTTATGCTGTATGTTGCCTTAATACCTTCAATGATAAATTCCAGACATCAGCACACAGTCCTTGATGCTGCAGTAAGCATGTGCTGTAGCAACACTATGATTAACACACACCAAAGTCAGTCGAGTTTGTAACGATTGTTATGATTTGTGGAGATAACCTTTTGGAGGAGCTGAGGAAACCGGCATGTGGTAATCAGTGGTAAATTACTCCGGGCCGGCTGGAAATCTCATCTGAACATGAATGGTTTCAGCAGTGACATCAGTTTTACTGATGCTGGTGGTGCTAAAAGCCCAGTTGTGAATTAATTTGGTCCTGTTCTTTTAGCCGTATTCATACAGCCTCCCCAAGCAGTCACTTACGCGTGGTTCATTCGGAAAGTCTCTCTCATTGAGACGTTAATGTGAAACACATTTAGAATTTTCTCTGTGTCACTGTAATCGAAAAATGTTTCTGAGCTGTTTTGCACTGGGGCCTAAATTTGTTCTCATCCATGAAATTACTGTTCTTTGTATTACACAGTGAGATATCATTTTATGACAAAAGCCAAGAAACACATGTGTGTATATGTGTGTGTATCCTGATTGAAATCTCGACAGTGTCTTGCTAATATGGAAATAATAGTGTCTGTCCAATTAAATATCGTACATTTTGATTCTGAAATTAGATTCTTGTCTATGTATTGTGTTTGAAGAATGCTTCTTGGTGGGTAATTTCGAGAAAAGATCAATTTACTTTACCCAAAATGACATTTGAGGATTATAATAGGAGGCTTTCCTAATAGCTTACTTTCTGTACTGTACGTGACACTTTTCGTGTTAGAGTTCATCTTAAATCTTATTTTCCCAGAACTGGTAATCAAAAACCACAGAACCCCACTGAGTGTAGTACTTGCCCTTTTCTTGGCATTGATGCTGGTCGACTTTGCCCCTGAGCTCAATGGCTACCATTAAATCCAAGTATTGGATTGGTCTGCACAATCTTTGCTGCCATTGGTGATTGAGTCGCCATGGATAATCCAGTTAGAAGTATATTTCAGCCTACCTGTAGGATCATGCTGCACGTACAATATGCTATAAACATAAACCGTTTCAGCCAGCAGGACCAATGGTAAAGGCAAGTACTGCTCAACCCCATGTTTTCAGGTGAAATCAACATGTACACATCAAAACGGTAGTTTGGGTAAAACTAGAGTGAGCATCTAGGAGCTTAGCAAAAAAGTTGTATAAAGAAGTTATTTTGTTTATTTTTTTCTACTCATTTTAATTTTTATTCAGTGAAAAGGACACAGGACAACGGGGAATACATGAGTAGTGTATACTGTAAAAACGACAGGAAATGTAAAAAGAGGAGGAAGAGAGAGCCAATGGGGAGCCAAACAAACAAAAAAAAAAGCAGGACAAATGAAAAGACACAACAAGGTAATTGCAGTGATATATTTTAGTAACCAAGGCAAGTACTTTCAGTATGTTCTTATAAGTAAGTCATTTGAATTATTTTCTCATTCTGATTGTTCGTGAAAAATAAGGCTCTGGATCCTCGTTAGCTTTCTTAAAATGGATTTCACATGAAATAATTAATGAAAATATAATTGAAGATCACACAGAATCAATAAAACAAGAAAAATCAAAAAGAACCAAACACCACAAAACAAGTGAACTTATCTATCTATAAAGCAAGAAATCTCTCTTGTGTGTGTGTGTGTGTGTGTGTGTGTGTGTGTGTGTGTGTGTGTGTGTGTGTGTGTGTGTGTGGCTCAAATATCTCTGCAGATCAGGATCAGACTGACCTGAGAGTTTCCACATGGCTGCTGTGTGGTTTAAGGGTGTGCATCGTCGGCTTTGTTTGGACTACAAATATACCGTTAATAGATTATTTCATTGATTATTTCCGAATTCCTCTAGCATTACCAACGATAGCCACCATAGCCACGTGCGCACCAGAGCCAATCACTGCAGAGCACGTGTTTAAGGTGTTTCCCAGTTGTCTCCCCCCGTCAATCTAAACCCGCGGACACTTCATAATCATATGGATGCTGTTATAATGTGTAGTGATTGAGATCCTGACCCACCAAACATCCTGGAAAGTGACGAAGTTACGTTTTTCACTCTAAATTACACAATTATTACACAATAATCACCAGCAGTAAACTGACTCCCTCACTCGCAAGACAGAGAATGTTTTAACACTCCGTGAGTTTTTCGCCGGTGACAGACGCTGTTTGAAATGTAACGGAAGAGTCGGTAGGACAGGCGGGAGGACAGAAAGGAGGACAGACGCTTCTCCACTTACAGCTGTGGTATTTTTTTTCCTCATAAGTTTCCAAAGACAGTTACAGTTACTACGTTACTGTTGTTTGGTCCTGTAACGTTGCTTTGTGGGACATTTCTCTTTATTAAGTTGAGTGGGAGACCTGTGCAGTTATCAGACTGTCTGACCGACACGCCCTCGCTCCGCGCCGTCGGTTTAACCGTTCACACTATTTTGGTAGTTTCAAAGCAATTTCTTGATGTAGAAACCCTTACTGCCATTGCTCTCTCTCTCTCTCTCTCTCTCTCTCTCTCTCTCTCTCTCTCTCTCTCTCTCTCTCTCTCTCATATTACCGGGCTAAATAATATGTCCTGACCAGTTCATTTACCAGGCTATACTACAAGTTAGTCTGTTTATGCTGCCAGGTTTCATCCCATTTCAGATGTAGTTCACTTTCTTCTTTCAGAATTTATATGCGCTGACCATGAGGTGTGGTACTTTCACATTAGTGGAATGGGGTTCAACTCCCTACAGTGTCCTTGCTAAAAGACAAATTATATGAAAACACAATAGTTATCAATCTACACATTTCACAACAAACCTAAATGTCCCTTCAAACACAACCTCATTTGGCCATCCATGAAAAAGCTACTTAACCTCCCATTTTCTATAGCAATACATACTTCCTACGGGCACTGCACTAGTTTCACAAATGAAAAGAAAATACAAAACCCAAAATATAATTAGATGTTGTTGGCGAAATGCCCGATCAGGTCTGTGTTTATATTTTTACTACTTTACTACTTTTTCCACAAGACATTCACATTCTGCATGAATAACAACCTACACAGTTTACCATAATGGGCGTTTATGCATCTCACACACATTAGCATATAAAGAAGCAAGAACATCTATTGTTCTCTTATTCCCTGTTCAACATTCCTTGGTTCCCTGTGTACTTGTTTGGAATAACGCCACCTCGCTTCCAACAGACTTGACCAAGATCATCATCACTGGTCTGAAGCCAGAGACCACCTACGAGGTCAAGATGTCCGCAATCAACGGCAAAGGTGAAGGCGAGAGCAGCCCAGCCAACACTTTCAAGACCGAGCCAGTCCGTAAGTACTGCCCTCACCACTCGTGTCCCAGATCTCAGTAAGCGCTCCTCTGACCCCAATGCTTGAACCTAATGCTGTTGCTTACTCCACCGCCTGCTAGTATCTAGCTGAGCCCAGATGCTTTCACCCCTACACTCCTCTATTCTCACGCCAAACCCCAGTGCAGTCCTTTTCCAGCCAGGCCAGAAGGGACGATAATTCACGATGCCACTGCCACTTCATAATCCAACTTGGTTAATAGTGTTGGTTATCTTAGCAAAGTATAACGTGTGTGTCCTTCATCACTGAAGAGTATTATGCGCCTCTTTCCTCGTGAATGTTTGCAGTGTGTAAGGGAGACCGTGCCTCCTTCCATTTCACAGAGCTCTGCATTTTTAGCCCACAACTCAGGTGATTTAGTGAAAGCTTTCTGGAAAGTACTTGTGCATTCTTAAGGCTGACTTATAGTTCAGTGTGGAGTGTCAGCTCCGTATTTATAGTTCAGTGACAGCGTGCATTCTTAATATAGCAGCCAGAGGTCAAGCCCTGCTGAAGATTGTTTATATTTTGTGAAGGAAATGGCAGCGCATGATGAAATGTTCTAGGGGGAGGACATTTTCTATTTAACTGTGTTTGGAAGAGTAGTAGAAAGAGTAACCTTAACAGAACATGGGGATACAAGTAGAATACCTCCATGTCAGGCAGATGAGCGAGGATTTGACCATGTCAGCCACCACAACACCTGCACCAGTTTGCTGGATGTTCTTCACCCTCCATTTTCTCATCATTTAAGTTTTTTTTGGTGAATAATCTGGCATCATATCACATCTGTTTTAGACATATGGCCTTGTTTGCAACCTTACAGCAAGGACCAGGTGCGCAGCACCTGTCATCACCAATCAGAATGAGTCGGCTTGCCATGAAATGTGTCAGCTTTGTGTTTATGTGCAATTATGTTAGATAATGCTTTCTTCTTGGAGTAGAAATTAGGCCTAATCATCTCTAAGATTTGATTCACATTCATGCGGTAGGTGTTTAATATAATTCCAAATAACTGCACATTTACATTGTAACATGTAAAAAATCTGAAAATAGTTAGTGTGATAATGGAACGTTACACAGTTCTTGTTCCATATGTTTGATGGCAGAAGTATGGTGTTTGTTCTTGAGCCATTGTGAACGACCTGTATGTTTATAAGGCAGTCATTAAATCCACTGTGGGTTGTCCACACAATATGGCAATGTCATAGTATTAAACAGGTCATGATGAGTTTAGAAACTTGGATACTGAAGGATATTTCTGCTTTATTATTGCTCATTGTGCAGGAAATCTTTGCATGCACAACTACAAGGACAGTGGGTCAAAATTGAACCAGAATGTTGGTCCTTACACTGTAATGGATGTCTACAACGGACGGACTGGGCAATAATTTTACAGTTTGCTTTTGTTTTCTGAATGTCTGACTCGTCTGACTGTTTTTCTTTCCCTATCAGACTGTGTTCCAAATTTAATTGGTGATAGAAATGATGACCCATACAACTGAAATAAGACCCAAATTGTAATAAACCAGATTTATCCTTCTATCCGTCTATCGACTGTGGAGCTAGTTTACTCAGGCTACAATTAGAAGGCAACAGACCTATTTCTCAGAAAGCATTTAAAATCAGGGTCATGAATACATCTTTGCTTTAGTTAGTACCGGTCTCTATGTCACTCCTCCATCTGTGCTTCATCATCCCACTGCTTCTGTAGAAATAGCCCCCCTCAGCATCCTCCTTATTTTGTCTGATTCCCTATAGCGGAAGGGAGGCTTTGTTCTACTTCAAGATGTTTCAGCAAAAATCTTTGTTTGATGTATTTATGGAGCTCGCACTAACTAGAATGTATAATTTACAGAAGTAAAATGAAAATGGACAACGGTTTAGATGTGTTGTCATTGAATGTGTTATATTACATCAGAGTAGCACAGGCAGATTGTCATCCAGAATCCCAGTGTCCTTTTAAGAAAACACTAAATCCCTATTCCGACCAAAGTCTGAGCTTCAAGTCATTAAAAAGCAAACTTTTTAATTTAGAGGGTAATATGGAACGAGTAGTTTCAAAGTTAGCTGCACCAACAAAGAGAAGCAAGACTTGCTGTTGACAGGAAGTTCAATAAGACAACAGTAGCAGTGCGGCAGTGGGTTAATGATGTGGCATGACAGAGTTGCCCTCTTTCATTGTTCATATTTCTCATTTCATTGTCTTTGTTTCTTCTTTTTGTTCTGTTGTTTTCTCATCATGATTTTCCATCTGTTCTGTATTCCGTTGGACTTCTCAGGGTATTCTTTCACAAGTAAGTTTCATTTCTCCCTGTCTCCATCTCCACTGCATTTATTTGTTTTACTTTGATTATTCTCCCTATATTAGAACATTGTGTTGTAAAGAAACGTGCTTCACTAATGTCAATGTAACAATGTTCTTGATCATATCATGTCTTCTGTGGAAATGGAACCAGAAATCATCACCCAAAACCCTGAACATTTAATTGATACACATCAGTGCTCATTTCATTACCTGTTGTAGGAATTCTCCAGACAGCAATCTATTATTCTAATGTGGTTTCAGGTTTGTTTAGCAGTGTGATCGATTGATATGACAGTCTTACAGCCTTTAGCAAGCGAGTTATTTTTACCATAGTCATTATTATTATTTATTTTGGTATGTCTCTAGTATAAAGTATATTGCACTTGTGCTCTGCAGCAGTTCAGCCAGTGAGTGGTATATCAGGCCTTTAAAAAAGGTATACTGTTTTCAGGGCCAATATGGCCATTATTATATTTGTATAATCATATGGTAATTAATGTGGAATTAGAATATTTAATGGTAATAATGTTAAAAGCTTGGCATCTTTGCACATAAATGGCCCTGTATGGAAACATAAGGTTGAAATATTCAGGCCTTCAATTACCAGACATCCTTTTATGATTCCCATTTGTGCTCACAATGTGCTTTTATTTTGGTATTGTAATTTGGCCATTGACGACAGTTGTGTCTCTGAGGTCACAAGAAAGAATATAAAGAAAGATTTTAAATAGCTTACCTTCCTCTGTTGAGGTGCAGGTGGGGAAGAGCATTATGGTTACTGCTGCTAAGGAAAAAGGTTTTATACATTGCTTTTAAATCCCCAGTTCCTGGTTGTGTGTTTTTTTCTGCTTCACAACTGTGGCCAATGCATAGAGTCCATATGGTCTGGATTCAAATCTTCAATGTATACATTCACACTACTATTTCAGTTTAGAGTCATATCCTGGTTTTGATCATATTTGGAATATGACCATCATTTTTAAAACAACTTGGATACTGGGATGATTCAAGATATCCTTGAAATGGCACGGGTTGCATCTTTTTTGTTTTCGGACTAGTGAGTTATATATGTGCATAAAACATTACCTTTGGCATTATCTGGATTTAAGGAGAATAATGGTGTGTGTGTGTGTGTGTGTGTGTGTGTGTGTGTGTGTTATGCTTGTAAGTGTGGTAAGCTTCAGAAGAGTGAAGGCTAGCCTTTGTAGAAATCTGACAACTTCAAGTAATTGCTAGTTGTTGCTGTAAACGAAACCATGGGTACCAAAACAAAAGGCATCTGGCATAGGTATGAAAAGAAAGGAAGCTGACACTGTACACTCACTGCTGAACAAATAAAAATGCAGAATCGGTTGCTCGACAAGCATTTCACAGAAGTCTTACAAGCGCTGCAAAATAGTTGAAAGAATGCAGTCATTTTTTTTTGCTTATCTTTGTTTCCATGAGAAGTTTCTTTTAAGCTTGCAGGCATTTATAAGGAAACCTATTCAGGTTTTAACTTTAAATTGTACTTTTAGGGAAACTTCAGCAGTTCTCCCACCCCTAACTATTAAGAACTAGTGGGCAGCAACAGTCCAGCATCCAGAGCCCAATTCCGGTTCCAAGGCCAGTGCCTTGGTCCAAGGCCAGGCAGTAGTTCTCTACATCTCAAACACTGACTTCCATGTAGCTGTTTTAGATATGAAACTCTAATATCTGTTGATGCCAATTTGGTGAAGTCAGTGTTGATGTTTTTTTATTGTATATACATCTCCTGTTGAAAAGTTTGTTGAGAACTTTGCACTTGGCATACTCTCTATTGAGAAATGCCTTATGTTTCTGGACATTCCCATTTCACAGGATGTAATAGAAAAAGCTATAAGATGTTTGTGTTGTTGCCTCACAGTGGTTAGCACAGTGGAGGTGCTTACTGATGCTGAAAAACGAGAAGAGTCATTGTTCCACAGGATTGTTCGAGATGAGTTCCTTATCACCAAGCCAGTGTAAAAACAAACCTGACCCAGCACTGAGTTGCTCTTGTTGAGGAGAACTCCAGCTCCTCTCACCATGTTTTCACCATCTTTCAGTTTCATCAGAGACACCACCCCCTATCGCTGCCACCAGTATGGCCCTTAGTGAGTATGCCAGTCGCACAGTGTGCAGTGTGTCTCTCTTCACCTCTTACCTGCTTGGCTTCACAGTTAGTGTACAGTAGTTGTTCATTTATTTCTGGTGTGGCTCACTGGAGAACTCGTAGCCACAGCAAAACAGCAAAAAGAGCTTGGCAACTTACTACCTTTGCTAACGGTCTTGAATTCTCCTAGATGATGATTTTACTAACATTTGTCAAGGACATAAAGGTCGCCATTCTAACCACCTGACTAGTGTTGTGTGTGACATAATTAACATAATGTGTCTGTCCATTTAGAATTAAAACATACTAAAGACTAGGTTGTGCTAAGTTTGTTGTAACCTGTTAATCTGTGAAAGTACAAAGACCCTGGTAGATCAGAGGCTACAGAACACAATCCTGACACTTTATTATTAGAAATACAGTAGTAGGTATCATGCTAAGATTTGAAAAGTTAAATGGTTGATAGTTGTAGTATCACACATCTGGCATAAACATTTAGTGATTGTAGGCTCCATGCTAACACCTTATGTTGTGTTTGTGTTTTCTGACTTTATAATGTTAACTGAAAACTCCAACCGGTGGTAGAGAAAGCCATCATTCGGCGCCACTGAACATGAATTCTATCATGGACAAAACATAGCTAAACAGAAAATATTTATTGCGCATGTTGCACTACTTATTAGTAACAGTCGCCATCTTGGATTCTGCAATGGCAGGAGTCCTTATAGTCATAACTGATTGGTTAGGAAATGGCTATTCCCTTCTTTTTTTTTTGGGGGGGGTTCATTTAAATGTATTGGTTTATCTGTAAGCTATTCTGACAGTCTACCTTGATCATGACTGTACAAAAAGGGTTCGGGTTAGAGGTAGAGGTACCCCTCTGCAAAAATGCTTTCTCCTCTACTTCCTACTTACCGAACCCATTTTTGCCTCTCCTCCATCTACATATTGTTGCTCTAATCTAAACCACTCTGTCACTGTTGACTTTGAATTTTCTTGAGCGCCCCTCAATGTTTCTCATCATTGTGTCTATTCAGCTCAGGCACAGTATCAGATCCACTGACATTCACTGCAGAACAGTTCACGCTAGTCTTGAGGATATGGCCTGTCTATGCAGACAGTAATGTAACGGAGACTCTTCACACAACCAGGAAATAGCCTGAGCCAGGAATGCTTTGTCTGTTTAGAAATCCTACACAACCACTCAGGTAACAGAGAGGTGACGCTGATCACCAGCACTGGCAAGCCCCTGCTGATATCTGATCATTCATTTGTGCAAAGAGCCAGTACAATTATAACTGATTGCACCTTTAAGCAACTAACCTACTGTATGTGACTGCTTTAATTTGAGGTTTGCACACATTTTAAAGCAACATTTCAGGTAACAGCGTGCAGTGTGTAAACAAACATGATGATGTGTTTGGTGCGAGGTCACCGGAGTAATTGTATGTCTATTCCTGCTCCTTTTAATTGAAATCCTGATGTACTGTTTTGTGTGTCCTTGAAATGTTCCTAACTAAATCTCTCACTTTGAACACACTTTTAATAACATTTGTCAGATACAGCCTTGGCTTTACTTTAGTTTCATCTAGGATGTAGCTGTTCATATATATGCTCCAGGAACTACTCTGTGTTTTCTGCCGCTCTCAATGTCACAAATGCTCTTAGACTGTTGTCTGATGCAGACCTTATTTCTCCTGATGTTTCATGTGTTCACACTGTCGTCTGCTGTGTTGTGCATCATGTTTAGTTGGCATGGTTGGATTCTCAAAGCTGCAGAGTTTCCTCTGCTCTTCTTTTGACCCTGATTTCTTGTTTGTACACAAACTGCTGTGTTCTTCCTATCTTTAATTTGTCTTTAATGGCAGTCATAGTTCAAATTCAGATTGGTCATTAATATTGTAAAATATAAGAATCAAATAAAATCCGTCAGAGGAAAAGCTGTTAATTATCTGGATGCATGAGGCAATTCTGGCTGTGCAGTTTTGGTTGTATCTTAAATTAATATCCAAAATTCAGCATCAGTTTATTTATTTCTTCATTTATTTATGGATATTTTGCATGTTTCCAAAGACCAAAACTATAAGACTGCAACTGCCTCATATATTCAGCAACATGTTTTTTTATATATATTCAAAAAGTCTGTTGATGTATTTATGTATTTCTCTTGGTTGTTTGTGTTCCTTTTGTGTCCTTTTGTCTTTAACATTTTTGTTCATTTGTTTATTCTGTTGACATGTTTTCATCATTTCAAAAATGTTTTTTATGTTTCCCATGTGCCCCCCCCCTCCCCCCCCCCTTCTCCTACATTTTCCTTTCAACCAATCATGTGCGTGCACATCATGTGACTTTGTCATATGGCTCTTGCATGGTGCTGATGATGTCGTCTTCGCTGGCCAACAGAAGGTAATTTTTTTTTGTTGTTGTTTAGTTTGAGATCATAAGATCCGCAGTGATCCTTCAGTAGGCATTTGTTAAATTAGAGTCATAGGCGAAACATAAAAACGCTTCCAGTTTTATTTGGCCATTTTTCATCCATCTTTAAGCCATTCTTTAAATATGTAGTAAATATTTAGTAAACATGCACAATTTCACTTAAACAGCATTTCATCCCCATTCATCTTAAGACTTTCTCTTCCTTCTAGCCAACTATGATCATTTTATCAATTTTACATTGCAGTCATGAATTAACAATGCAAAGCTATTCTCCTCTTAGTGCCTTGTTAAATATGAATTCTATATAGACAATCTAATGTAAGAAATACGCACCAGGGATACATTATTTTTACAGGGCTGAGCTGAGCTACCTTGATGTGACTGTTAAAGGTTATATAAACAGAATTCACTGCTACTAAATGTTGCACTAGAGCACCAGCATCATGACTCCATTGACAACACTGGTAATGTAATTTTACCTAGCACATAACCGTAAAACACACTTCAAACTGGAAAGAAATGAAACTGACAAAAACTGTCTTTCCACATTCCAACAATCACCAACTTTTTGGTCAAAACTCTAAATTCACCAAGTTAGAAGAGATAATGTTCTTGAAACAGGCGGCAATGTAGCTAATCGTATTTAAAAAAGTATGTCCACTAAAGGGGCTTGTTTTTGCCACTAACTGTCTCAGAGAGTCTGACAACATTATGGAAAGGATCCATTTGTTTAACCAGAAACAGCCGTCACAATCGTACTCAACAGACAAAAACTGTACTTTTACCTTTCTTATCACTCTAAAATCATTACGCACAAAAAAACCACACCAAAACAATTCCAACAATCACCAACTCTGGTTTGGTTGAAATAAAACCTTAATTAACCAATGTAAATAAGAAAAATACACGCGGCCTGACCAGCTTTGTCAAAAAATCACAGATGAGCTGGGATAGCAACACAGATAAAGGGAATGTGATCATTCTCTACTGAGGATGCCATGACTCCACTTTATCTTTCCATAGCTAATAATAGTTTACTGCTATATTAATGTTTTAAATCTCAATATATATATATATATATATATATATATAACCTTGAATTCCTTGCCTCCATGTGTTATGCTTACATTTACACAATATATTAACATGCATATGTATTTATCCTGATAAGATATCCATATACAGATAGCATGTTAATATCCGGTGGAAATGGGGTCCTTGATTTGAATTCCTCTGAGCTAGCTAAGATAGATCTAATTGTAATTGCGCTCACACATTTCATTTCATCTGTTTTTTTCAAATCCCACTTTGCATTTTACGTTTGTTGTCAGAGTAGTAATAGTAGTTACATTTTATTCCAAACACACTTATTTCTTTAAATGTATGATTCCCTGGTGTGCTCTTTCCCATGTCTTGATCAGAAATAAAATCTAAATTATTCCAGGCTTCCAGGTTGCATTCAAATCTTTAAAAAAGTAAAACCAGTAGATCTTTTTTTCATGAAAACCTTTTTATTATGTACCACTGTTCTGAACTGCATTTAAACATCACAGGAGCACCTTCACAAAGTGCCACTGATTGCAATCTGCATCACACATGTAGTCCTCATACTCACCCACAGAGCTACCGTTTTCTTATTTTTTCCCCAAATTAGCTACTGTAGCTCACAGCTTTCTGTTTGAAGCTGCAGATGTTGACTGCGTTAGTAGTGCACTGACCAGGTATCGCGGGAAAAAGCAGGCTGTTTTGCCATGCTATAATCCTTTGTTGACCGTCGTCGGTGGGTCGGGCCGCACCAAGGTCCAAAACTTATCACCCGATGTGGGCGAGCGAGGTGAGCGAAAGAGCGGCGTGAGAGAGGGGATAACACCGTGCCAGGAGTTTTATCACCTGGACATCGCGCGTCATCAAGCTGCATCAGGTTACGGTCACAGAAAGTGACCGAATGAGGTGACAGGAAGTGACCCGTCACAATAAAAGTCTCGTTAACCACTTCAAATGAACGAGTTCATGTTTAAAGGTGTCCTTTGCCCCTACATATAATCCCCCCTTTGATCACAGGAATGCACCCGATGTGTGATCCTTGGATCAAGAGTGTATAGTCCATAGCTGAAAGAGTTCGTTTGTCAGTTCATTCACATCAACTAACATCCGGGCAGTTGATTGATTTGCTAAGCAAGAACAAAATTCTACCAAGGAGCTGATCCAGGTGTATTTGCAAACAGGGGTGTCACATCTAATTTTGGTTTGTTTTTCAGCTAAAAGTAGGTCGTCTTACTATTACTGTGTTTAGGATTACTGTACTGAGTCTATTGCAGTTGCTAACAATTGCCTATAGAACTGCAGAAAAAGTAAGGTACTCCCTAAAATAATCTTCTCTATAGTGATCGTAGTTGTCTGGATCGAAAGGTTCAATATCTTTAGCTATCGGCTCCAGCACTTTAAGACGAGGACACTGCGAGGTCTTTACCAGGAGAGGCTTGGCTAACTTGACTGTAGACATATGCATTACTTGCTACAGTTCTCTTCAATTGACAGGCAGTGGCTGAATATAAGAAGATAAGCTACATAGCTCTTCAATGTCTGATTCGGGGAGATGAGAAGTCAGGTAGCTATTCCTTCTGTCTCTCTGTGGAGGTTGAGGAACTGACTTTCTTCCCAGGGACTCAGGGTCAGTTGGGGACCGGTCCCATCTTGTTAGAGGAGAGGGAGCCAACCTCTCGCCAAGGGAGGAGTTTGAATCAGAAAAGCCAGAGTCACATCTGCTGAGTGACTGTGGTGGGGCAAGATGTCCTAATCTATGCCCTAACAATTCCTCCTTGTGTGAACAGAGTTCTCTGAACTCTGAACAGCAAGACTGGTTTGTGTGGAAGTTTAGAAGCAAACATCTCAGCAATCAACCTTTGAGGCGGTCTGAGCATCGCAACTGTCATTGAGTAGTGAGTCTATTTAATTTCTACACTCACTGAAATTTCACCTTCTGATGAATTCAGGGCAGTCGGGCTTTAGGCTCTGTGCTAGGGAAGAAATAAACTGCTCTACAAAAGGGTTCTCCATTGTTCTCTGTAGAATGGAGGAGGAGATGTAGCAAGTTAGTGTGGTTGGCTGTGGTGTTGCGTGGCAGATACCTTGTAGTGTAGCTAGGGCAGTAAACTAATCAAATCTAATCTTCCTGCGGAGGAGGGATAGACACAGTGCCGTCTAGTGGCTCTAGTTGGTACAACAAATTTCACATACACTCACTGTTATGTGGGGCAGGAACAGTCAGGGGATGGGCTCTTTAAAGTTTACACAGGCTGGAACACGTGGTAGTAACAGCTAGGGAGGTAACTTTAATTTTTCACGGGGCTGGTAGCACGCGGGGGCTCTACCCCAGTTTTTTTTTTAGGGGCACTTAAGTTTACAGCAAAATAAAGACTAGTTTGACTAGGTGGCATTGAATATGTCTGATTCGAATGCTGAACCAAATTCTTATTTTTCCTACAGGGTAGGTTTAGCTTGGAATAGCTAGCAGCAACAGCAAACTCGTAAGGTAACTCCTATGCCTATCCTTGTTTGTAAGTACAGTTGGATATCTACTGCTGTGGCAGACTAGTGGTTCAGACTTTAGAAAAATTGCAATTTAGACTGAAATCCCCCCAAAAATTATATGGGCCGAAAATATATGCTGAAATATTAATATAGCACAGTTATGAATAATAATCAACAGTACTACGCCTCACACGGGGCACCATTTTTAGGCTATGATAAATCACAGCGGTACCATTTGTTGGCCAACAGTGGTTTAAAGGTATTAGTGTAATCAATTAATTTTGGTTATCAAAGTTTATTAATTATCAAAAGATAATAGAAAATCACTTATTAATATCAAAGTTCCTCAGGGCAGCACCCTTAAATAAGGGAAACGAAAGCGGGCTCTTGTGCCATGCTATAATCCTTTGTCGTGCGTAGGTGGCGGGTCGGGCTGCACCAAGGTCCAAAACATATCGCCCGTTGTGGGCGAGCGAGAAGTCTAAATAGTCTCTGCTGTGCGGTGTCCCCTGGTGCAGGTTGCAAGATGAAAGGCGTTTCGCTCGTTGCTCTGAAGAGGTAACGACTGCATTAACGTTGCGTTGCTCCGGTAAAGTCGGCTGGAAGACTTTCTGTTTAAAGCTGCAGATGTTAGATGCACCCGTTAGGGGTGCGCTGGCCAGGGATTGCAGGAAAAGGCAGGCTCTTGTGCCGTGCTATAATTCTTTGCCGTGCGTTGGTGGGTTGGGCGAGCTAGAGAGCGGCGTGAGAGAGGGGATAACGCCATGCCAGGAGTTTTATCACCTGGACATTGTGCGTCATCAAGCTACATCAGGTTACGGTCACAGGAAGTGACCGAATGAGGTGACAGGAAGTGACCCGTCACAATAAAAGTCCCGTTAACCACTTCGAATGAACAAGTTCATGTTTAGGTCTCCTTTGACCCTACACAGTGTTGCACTGATTGGATTCACAGCAGCCCATTGCATTACTGCAGCATGCAAGTTTATTTCCTGTTTCTTGTTGCATCCTTCTTCTTCTCGCTCTGCTGTTTCCCAAAGAAAATGTCGGTCCTGTCTGCATGTGTCTGTGTCTTTGTTGTCACGTCCTCTTGGTACTCGCATTTCTACATAAAGCACTGAAATTTAAAAAAAAGATCTGTAATTTACTACATGCAACAGTACTAATAAATGTTCCATAATTTAAAGTTATGAGAGAGGATTCGGTGACCAAAATACATTTACGCAATAATTATACCAGAAATTTGTGGTCTGAATTTTGAGATGAAACATGATATAACACATTTTGTGTGTAAGATTGTAATTACTTTTATATTACATTTACAGTAACATGTATGATAAATTAAATGTATCTAAAGATTTAAGGTTGGACAGTGTGATGTGATTTATAACGGCTAATTCATATTAATACACAAATAGTACTGTTACATGATATTAAGCATTAACTGACGCCACAAAACTAAAATGAAGAATTTCTGTATGAGACTGCATGTTTTCAATAACTCTTGTTCAATTCTATCCACTTATCTCTCAATGTATGCTGGAAGATGAGGGAGGATGCAGTATTAGGTCGGGCTACATGTGGACCTACGCCCTACTGCATGTGTGTCAGTGTGAGGTTATGGGCAGTGTTCCACATGTTTCCCCATCCGAATGCGTAGCAGCACCCAAAATTTCCAGCCTGCATGGGGAAGCTTCTCATTCTAACCACCGCCTCTCTCTGTTTTTTAGCCTCAGAAAACATGACCTAACCCAGAATGATGCTTGTGAATAACAATGCCGAATGTACCGATGTCTACCTGCCACCGTGTTACTGCTGCTAACACTGTCTGATTCACTTCCAGCATCTGTCATGCTCACTTCAGTGTATCCAGTTTTTAGGCAGTGTGCTCAGATGATTACATAGGATCAAGAAAGAGTGCCTTCATGCATATTCATTTAATTAACCACTAACACTGATGTTTGAAATGCTAAATATTGAGTCTGGAAACAGGAATGCTGACATTTTCGTGTCCATTTGAAATGTATGCCAATGTTTTTTTTTCCTTTCCTGCACAATGACTTGCCAAGTAAGGCATATATTCAAATCTGCATCATCTCTTAGATCATGTAAGATATAATGTGAGTGTTTTCTGTTATCACAATGTTAGCACAGGGCAAAAACTGTAACATCATGAGGTAGCCAGTTTGATAACATAATAACATGGCTAACTGTGTGTGACCACTATGTACATAATTAATGAGTTTGGGCTGTTAGTCTCCTCCCTTACAGCACTTACAGTGGTACTAGAGTAAAGCCATCATCACTACACATGCACACAAAACACCTTGAGCTTCCCTTCCATAAGACTATGTATATATTATCAAAAGTAATAGACTAACATGTCCAATCAAGGCCTAAAGGCTCATTATCCAGTGATCCAGGAGTCATTACTCTAGGGGGATGAAGCAGATAATGAGGAGGCTCAAGGAGAACACCTCAACCACTGGCTCGGAGGCAGCCACACTGCCATCTGTTCCTTCAGGCTTCCCCCGAAGGGATAGTCCACTCAAAATTATATATACATATATATATATATATATACATTCTCCCTGTAAGCTTGAAAAGAGGGTTTACGTTGGTGCCAACAATTCCTCCACTCAACAAAATACACCATCATTTCCTTTAACCGTCCAGTGTGTAACGTTTACGAGGATCTATTGACAGAAATGGAATATAATATTCATATTCGTATTTTTTTGTATAATCACTTGGAAGTAACTGAAAAACTTGAAAGGCTCTATCTGGAGCCACTGTTTGGTTCGTCTGTTCCTGGACTACCGTAGAAACATGGTGGTTCAACATGGTGGGTTCAATTCCAATGTAAACAGAATTATGAATATTACATTCCATTATTGACAATAGATCCTCCTAAATGTTACATATTGGTCCTTTAATGTGTATTGCTTTATTTTTAAACTAAGCTTTTAAGAGATGAAAACATTGACACCATCATTGATTTGTCCCTGGTAGAACAGTGCTCCAAGCTAATCCGTTAGCATACACTGTGTAATTGGTACTTATTATATTTTAAGTCCTCCCATCAAGAAGGCTTAATATATTTTAAAAATAATACCATAAACTAACCCTAACTCTAACCCTGTCCAAGTGTAGAGCTGTTTGGAACTTCTGTGTAGATGTTAGATCACGGAGAAAAGCTTTTAATTTCATATAGAGAGTGTGTGGGTGTGACAAAGCTCGTCAGGAGTTGCCCATCATTACATTTAATTTGACCATTCTCTTACATAAACTGTTCAGATGTGGCCGCATTTCTTTTAAGATAGTTAACCATTTGGCTGTGTCGCTGCCAAAATTATCTTGCTTTTGACATGATGTTAGTGGTTTGCGAGCAATGGACCCAATCATCTGCAGGGATTTGATTTTATGATGGAATTGTCATTGTTCTCATCACTTAACAGCTTAGTAGAGCAACGTAACAGCACAAAAACTCACTTTAGGCCAACAAAGCATAAAAGACTTAATCACACTGTGATTATTACCTCCACATCTGCAGAGTCCTCTGATTGCAATGCTTGTTACAGTTTGAAGAAGAAAGAAAAGCATCTTAAAAGAGTGTAGGTTAAACTGGCAATCAACTAAAGTTTAGCTTAGTTAACCTTGAAGACAAAAGCACACACAGTAGAAAGGTTAGAGGAAGAGGCTACGGTTGCTGTTGACGTAGCAACCATATTTATGTCAACTAATCATAATTCATTGTTTTTTTCTGTGTAGGGGAACCCAGTGCCCCCAAACTAGAAGTCAAGTTCCAAAACAAGGGCAGTAGTCTTAAGGTCAACTGGATCGAGCAGGACGATGGCGGTTCCCCCATTAAACATTACCTGGTCAGATACAAGGCTGTGAGTATACTGTGCAAGGAGGTAACTTGGTACCACTTTGCTGTTTTGCTTTTTTTTCCAATTCTTGCAATGGTTTCATAACAATTAGTAAGGAAAAGAGCTTGTAAATGCTCACTAAACCAACTGGAAGCAGGAATACGGTACATTAAGGCACCCTTCCATGTAAGTCAACCTTTGTACTCCTACAATTTGTTCTACAAGTGCCCAAATGTTACCTTGAAACAACAGTATAATCATTTATAGTGTATAGTAAATGAATAGTTTTCATTCGGGGAAGTTGTCAACAGATAGGGCAACACTTTCTCACTCCCAACCTGTTACAATACTGGCACTTAGTCGGTGGCCCTCTGCTTCAAAATATGATGCCAAAGGTACCCCTCGCACTTCATTCCTGGATGCACAGGGCTCCACGGTAAAGTTAGCAAGTTAGGTCAAAGTCCAGTTTGTTTGAGCCAACAAATTCGGACTATTTTGCTCTTTGATACTGCGTCACCTGACTTAGATGGCAGGCGCGCCCAGAAATTATACTAGAGGGAAACCTACAGCGCCATATTTTGAAGCGGAGGGCCACTGACCAAGCTGCAGTATTTGGCAGTGAGACCAGATTGGTAAGGGAAAGTGTAGATAGACGATTCAGAAAGCCATGATCCCTCACTGGTTTCCCACCACTGAATGTTAACAACTTTGCTCAACTGAACACCAAGAACCACTGCCAGGTTTTGAGCCTAGTTTTTATTTAATTTTTTTTTGGGGGGGGGCATATTTTCCCCTGTGACATCTAGCCTCAGTAAGTGTGCAACTTTAACTGTCTTTAGTAACTGTGACAAATATACTTTCAACAATAACATGTACACCTCTGTTCTTGTATGAAAGTAATCTTTCTTGTTATGTTTCGACAAATATTGCATACATCATGTGAGTAACAGCTCTGGAGTTGTTGAAGGGTTTCTTTGTGTTTAATCCAAAGAGATAAAACAGATCATGAGCTTCTTGTCTAACTCTTGGTCCGTAAATACGCTTTCTCAAAATGTTGAAGTGTGCTTTTTACGCATTCCTTTTCATCTTCTGCTAAAAAGGTGCTACAGGTTCCTTTGGGGCTTTAGCTTTGTACCTTGTGAAGTTATTAAAGAACAATGCACTCTTATCTTCGACACAATGAATCACTGTGCCTGTACAGAATGACCACAGTCTCATTTGGTTACCCAGTTTTGAGTTGTGTCCCCTCTACATTCCTTTCTCAGAAGCATGTATCTGACTGGAAACCAGAGATCCGCCTCCCCCATGGCAGTGAGTATGTGGTGCTGAGCGGCCTGGAGTGGAATACAGAGTATGAGGTTCACGTGGTGGCGGAGAATCAGCAGGGCAAGTCAGAGCCTGGCATCCTCTCCTTCAGAACAGCTATAGAGCCCACTACCATCCCAGGTACTATTCCCATCATTTCACCCTGAGCATCCACAGACACACACAGTGCACAAAGGCTTCCACCGTGACCAGAAAGGCTCAATCACTTGGATCCTTGACTATTAAGGTGGCTATTCAAAGCTTGCTGGCTGTAGGGTCTGACATGAATCAACTGGCTCTGTCGGCTGTGTTGGGGAGGTGTGTTGTTTTTTTTCACTGTGGCCTATATTCAGTAGGTTTGAAATGACAAGAGACAGCCCAGTCTCACAAAACTGTGTGAAATGAGCACAAACAAAAAAGCATACAGTGTGTTGCAGTCATGAATAATCAGAAAAGTATATTTCTCCAAGCTGGAAGAATTGCATTACAGCCATATAAATTTGACTTGACATGATCCTCACATGAAAAAGCTTTCATTTAGAAAGTAAACCCTTGTTTACAATTACAAGATTTTCACTACAGCATATTATATGTTTTTTGTAGACTAAAGAGCATTTATAAATGAAGACTGAACATTAAAACCAGGATTAGAATCAGCTCTATGGGCTGAGTAAGTTTAAGAATGCAGGGATTCAAATCCTTGGGTTTCTGTAGCTACTACAACTAGTCTGCTCTAAGGGGATTGAGTGTAGGGGGGAGGAGCACGCAAGTAACTGCAGATGCCAAGTTACAGCTGCCCGGAAGAAAAATAAGCAGCACCTGTCTTTTGACCACGATGAGATGATGACAGAGCAAAACCCAGGACAAGAGGCAGCCTTCAGCGAAAATCCCTGGCCACATCTGGCCAGACTTTTTAATACCAAAATCTAAAAAAGAAACAACAGTTACATGACAAAGGGCACAACAACCTCCTGAAAAACATCCCAAAAAACATCCTGAAACCAACCCCCGCAAACACATTCTGTAGGTGAAAATGTAGTTAAACTTTTTTTCAAATGGTAATTTTCAGCGTTTCAGTGTAAGACATTTTTTATGAGAGTAATTGTACTTTTACTTAAAGTAAAGATTCTCAGTACTCCCCCACCATTGCTGACAAGTCAAACTTTCATGTCAGTAAAAATAGAGAAGTTGTGACTTGAAGCTGGGTCATTGGAAGTTTATTTTCCTTTTAGCTCTGGCTTCTACTCTCTTTCTTTCCAGCTACGTCTCCTCCACCTAATCCTTTCCTTTTTGAGACGTATATTTTTCTGTTTTTTTTTTTTCATGCACAGAGCTCCTTATTTGCACTTTAAAACATTGTGCTCACTTCACAAAATTTTCCAGGCCAGGCTGCACAAGATCAACAATAACTATTGAATCCATATGAAGAGCAGAGGCGTATTCGCTGTGTGTTTTTTTCTTTTCCTTGATGCTCTGCTGCTACAGATAAAACTCAGCATCATGGCACTCTGCTCTCCTGGTCTTCAGTCGCTCCTATAAGGCAGCTGTTACTGCTCAAGTTCAGTGAGCAATAAAGTCGGAGCAGATATCAGTCAGACCCAGAGCATTTTGTCCAGTTTATAGCAAATATTTTTCTACCCAGGTGGTCACGGTCGGCCTTTTGCTCTGTTGTTGTGTTGTGTATGAGGTGCACATTTTAACTTGGGCTGCTTCCCCATTGCACTATACCTGAGCTACAAAACAGGTGACACTTCTTTCTCATCCAACTATCTTTTTTATCTCCTATTGAAAACGAACTCTGTCAGGTTTTCATTCTCTCTGCATCATCATTTTCTCCATCCTCACCTCAGCTTCAGGGTTTTCTTGCCAGTCCATTTCCCTCACAAAAGGGATCTCAATTGTTAAATATGTTCCCTTTCAACTGTCAAGTGAACGTCAAGGAATATGACAAAAAAATTACACCAAAATTACAAACTAAATTCTAAGCAAAATAGGTCTTTCGGGGGTCAGACTATGAGAAGAAATTAGAGTAAAATGAATCTTTACTGATGTAGCATTGGGAATGCATAATGTTTAATTCAATTCAATTCAATTTTATTTGTATAGCGCCAATTCATAACAGAAGTTATCTCAGGACACTTTTCAAATAGAGTAGGTCTAGACCGAACTCTTTAAAACATTAATTACAGAGACCCAACAGTACCACCATGAGCAAGCACTTGGCAACAAGGGCAAGGAAAAACTGCCTGTTAAAAGGCAGAAACCTAGGACAGATCCTCCAGCTCTAGGTGGGTGGTCGTCTGTCTCGACCAGTTGGGGTGAGAGAGAGGGAGAGAGACAGAGAGAGAGAGACACACAGACAGACACACAGACAGACGCACAGTAACAACAGTATTGGCAATGGAAATCTAGCAGGACCATGGCAGGAGGCTCCACCAGGATCTATAAGAACCTGTGAGACGAGAAAGCACAAGAACTCCGGGGAAGAAGTGAAGTTAGTAACATGCATTAATGGAACATGAATGAGTGCAGAAAGAGAGAGGAAGAGAGGAACTCAGTGCACCATGGGAAAACCCCCTGATAGTCTAGGCCTATAGCAGCATAACTAAGGGATGGTTCAGGACTCACCTGATCCAGCCCTAACTATAAGCTTTATCAAAGAGGAATGTCTTAAGCCTTCTCTTAAATGTGGAGAGGGTGTCTGCCTCCTGAACCACAACTGGAAGCTGGTTCCATAGGAGAGGAGCCTACGTGGTAAATTGAGGTTTATTTACCATTGTTCCATGCTTTCTAAGCTAAGTAATGCCCGTAATATTCTAGACACTATATATATATATATTGTTTTTTCACTTAAAGAGCATGGTGAAACTGTGACGGATACTTTAGTATGTTAGAAAAATAACATTCCTGGAGGTGGTGGAATTGTTTCAGAATGGCTCGTAAGTGCTTATAATTAGTTTAACTAATTTGTTTCCAACACATGGGTGCATTTGTGGAAGAAAACAGCAAAATAAGCTACAATTAGAGTTAAGTGAAAGCAAGACAGAAAACCTGGTAAAACTTGCAATATATTCTCAATATTCTAATGATGCCCCTAAATCCCCAAACTGATCCACAGCTGAAAATGATCCACAGCAGATGCTGTATTCACTCCTGCTTGAATAATACTTGCTAAACACTACTGTGCCCAGGTGTTTTAGAAAATGTATGAACCTTTTTTTTTTTTTTTTAATGAAACTATATATTTGTGAGCTGTTTTTAACAGTCCAGTGTGTAAAATCTAGGAGGCTCTATTGGCCTATCGCCTCCTGCGATGTTGAACAGCTATGTTTCTACAGTACCCCAGAATGGACAAATTAAACTCTGCTTCTAGACAAGGCGGCCACCATAGTTTCTCCTATACTCTTGAAAGGCGAGCAGTATTCAGTTGGATGCAATGTGCAACTTTACCTCTAGATGCCACTTTACTTTAAATATTTACATCTTCAACAGAAAGTTTAGAGCCAAAATAAAACATTTGAGTTTTGTTTTTGTTGACAATAAGAAAATATAAAATAACACCAGCTCTAGCCTTTAAACAGTGGAAAGGTTGCGAAAAGTGTTTTCCCCCTCTCCCAGTGTAGATAGACCAATTAGTAGGATGTGATCCCTCACTGGTGGTCTCACCAGCGAACATGCAAGGAAAAGAAAACTTGAAATACATTCCCATCTTTTTTTCAACATCCTCACTTCTTTTTATTCCCTCCATCAGCCTCTCTCTCTCTCTCTCTCTCTCTCTCTCTCTCTCTTCCACTGCCAGGTTTAGTGGGTCTCACAGTTCAGGGTCCATGACTGACCTGAATATACAGTGTGCGGCCTAGTTAGGTGGGGAAGCAGCCCTGACAGTCTTTGCATGGTGCCACCTCCAACTGGATTAATTTTGTCTTTTCTTAACTGGAGACCCTAAAAGGCACCGGCTGCCAGTGCATGGCCCATAAAGAAACCAGTTATTTTCTTTTTCATGCGCTTGCTGGGCAACAGCCATATAGCAGTGGGAGGTTTGGATCATTTATAATACCACCAGAGCAGAAGTTCACATGGGCTTCATCCAAGTCAGTCCCATTTTAATTCCCATAATTACTTTAATTTAATTTTTTTGTTTTGGGATGTTTAGTATTGCTTCCAAGTTTCTGTTGTTTTTATTTATTCTTCCCTTCAAGGCACGTGGGAAATTGAGGTTTATTTTTAGCTATAACATCTGCATTTAATTTCAGTATGTTTCACAGCTGTTCTTGGCTTAAAGCAGCTGCTGTTTTGCAAATATATAGTGGCTATGTGCACTTAATTGGCACTGTGACGCAAATTGTGCATGCAGGGTTGATTCAAGGTTGAGTTTCAATCGGTTTTATTTTTTATTTTTTTTCAAACACATGCTCAGAAAGCCGTCACACACACACAAAATGCAAAAATCATATTGAAAAAAGGGATTTTAGTGTACTTCAGAAGAAAGGATCTCTGAAACATCTCAGTGTTAAGTTACCTCCTCTCTGGGAAAATGAATCTATTTAATCTGTTGTGTCAAAAACCTTTATATAATTTGGCTTGTGTAACTGTTCTCTGCAGGTACAGCTGGGCAGCATTTGCATGCCACAGAAGGCAAAATGCTGCCCAGCTGAAGAGAGATAAAACATCATCATAATTTTCATGCCAAAACGCGTTGTTCAAAATAAATACAGTCTTTGTAAATTTGCTAATACAGACACAAAAGTAGTTGTGTTGACAACTGATCCATCCAAATCTCCCCAGCTAAGGTTGACATTGGAGTAAAAACTACAAAAAAAAAAACAGCTATTAACTTTTGCAGTTTTGATAACATTCATTCATCCATGTCATGGACTTGACCTTCATAACCAGCTTCTGTTTTGGATGTGTGGTTTTGCATGGGCCGTTCTCCCTGCGTTGACCAGTGGTGTAATGGTAGCTGCAGAAGTGGCTCTACTGTGAATAATGCCCCGCCCTCTCCTTTCTACATGTGCACACATTCCCACCAACCATCTGTCTGCTGAAGTACTCTACCACAGTAATAGATGTCTTAGAAGTGCTTGTAGTACCGAAGAATTGTATGAACAAGACAGGTGTTTTTTTATTAAACACAAAAGAGC